AAGACGAGGAGAAGGAACATTCTTTTCCCGGATCTAGCGACACCGCTTTGCGTTGTTTATGTTTATTCGAAAGAAGACTTTCCGAAAATTCCGATCTTCGTTTGCAATATAATGAGTTTATGAAAGACTAGACAGTGGTCATATGAGCCCTGTTTCTATCGAAAATTTAAAGTCTGGAAAGTACTACATTCCACATCACTGCGTCGTTCGTCCGAAAAGTGTCACAACAAAACTTCGTGTTGTGTTCAACGCTTCTGCCAGGTATTCCAGAGGTATTTCGCTTAACGGTACATTACTCATAGGGCCTAAACTACAAACTAATATTGTTGAGATACTTTTGAACTTTAGGATTCACTTTGTTGTTTTTGTGACCGACATGCGACAAATGTAACGGCAGATCGTGGTTAGCGAGGCTGATCGTGACTACCAACGTATCTTCTGGCGTTTTGACACTAACCAACCCGTTCAAGAGTATCGTTTAAATACCGTCACGTACTGCACGTCTTCCGCTCCATTTCTCGCATGTCGTACAATAAAACAGCTGGTTTCTGATGAAATTAAAGAACTGCCTCTTGGAAGTAAGATCTTGTCTTCTTACTTATATATTGATGATCTGGTGACCGGTTTTGAGAGCCTGGAGAACGCTAAAAAGGCTAAATCAGAAGTTATCGACCTGCTTCAGAGAGGACATTTCGAACTTCGCAAATGGGCGAGCAACGAACCGAAACTTCTTGAGGACTTGCCACCGGAACATTGTTTGACTGGTCCAGTGTCTCTCGATACTGATGAAAATAGCTTTTTGAAGGTTGTAGGTCTAAGGTGGGATCCGTGGAGTGACTCTTTTCTCTTTGCAATAAAACAACGGCACATAAAGTGCACCAAACGTAATATCCTGAGTGAAGTGGCTCGCATTTTCGACCCTTTAAGTTTTCTTTCGCCCGTTACCTGATTGCTAAGGTCTTGGTTCAACGCCTATGGGTTCTTAACCCTTGGTTTACCCGGTGACTTCATACATACAAATTTTACCCGGTGGAGTCCCCAGGACTCCCGGGTTTTAAATCGTAAATATAATAGGAAATAAACCATTTTTTAATTGAAATGCTAGTTTGTTGCTTTTTATATATTTGGTTTTACATTATCTTAACTTTTTACTTAAAATCATACAGTCACAGTCTTTTATTAAGGAACTTTTAGATAATCGCACTTTTTGTAACAAAATTATGACACCTATCTTCTAATGTCAACATTTCAAAAACAAATCAATATTATAAAGTTATCTTCAAAAAAATATAACAAAAAATATAAACAATTCTTATAAAAAGTAAAAAAGAAATGGTTTCAACAAGAAAAAAAACGCGCAAGACCTTCTAGTCACGGTTGATGACATAGTTATTGCATATTTTTTTTGTACAGCTAAGGCACACAGGCTTAGTACAACTATGGCAAATATATCAAGTCGTCTATATATGAAGTCAAGCATCTTCATCAAGGACGTTTATACAACTACGAGACGCCATTATATCAACTGAAAGTAAATAAAAACACACTAAATAATACCGTACATAGACTAAAAGTATAACATTGATATCCCGCTGGAGTCCCACGGACTCCACTAGCGTGATTACTTACCGATAGAAGTCGCGCACGGCAAAGTCCGTTCTCCCCCGCACTCGGAGCGTCACTGCGTGAAGGTATTGGAACGCACAATTTGTAATTCCAAAAACTAACGATTTTATGAGCGCGGAAAGTTTTCAATGGAGTACCAGGGACCTACCGGGTAAATTAAGGGTTAATGTGGGCTGGGACGAGGACCCTCCTTCTGATGTGGTACGCTTCTGGAATCGTTATCTGGACCAGATTCATCTCTTATAGACTCTTAAAATTCCCAGTTGCGTGTCTGTCGTATCCATTATATCGTGTGAGCTCCATGGTTTTTCTGACAGCTCAGAAACCGGTTCATCATCCATGCTCGTCCACTGCTGGACATAGGTCTCCCCTAATGCATGCCACTGCTCCAGATTTTCTGCCACTCTCATCCAGCCCACTCCATCCAAAAACCGGTTACGGCGCTGTAATTTATTTACGATTAGTTAATGTATCCGGTGAAGTAAGAGTGTTTTTCCTCTGTTCGAAGGCGCGTGTGGCTCCAACAAAATCATCCTCTCTGCCACGCCTCGAGCTAAGTGCAGCAGTGCTCTTAATTGATTTATTAAAGTTTGTACATAACTCATATTCGCACAAGTTTTCTATTACTCAGGTCTATGCGTAGTCTGACGATGGTTGTTCTTGCCTGGCTTCGTTCACATCCTTCTCAGTGGCAGACATTTGTCGCCAATCGAGTCGCTTACATACAGGAAGTCCTTCGCATCGCTAAATGGAACCATGTTTCTTCTGAGGATAATCCCGCCGATGTCTCTTCTCGCGGACAGCTTCCATCCGATCTTTTTCTTTTTCTTCCGACAAAAGTTTCAAACGTGAGTACGTTACGCTATTTGCAAACCCATTCGTAATTGTGTATTTATCGTAATCGCGTAGCAGCCCCTTTTCAATCGTTTTAATTACTTATATCGGCTGCCCCCAATTTGTATTTGCAATAACAATACACATTGTATTTAAAAATGATCTATTTTATTTACAGACTTGAATACCTACCTAATCCATTTAGGTGATATTTGTTTTGTGTTCTTCTGAATACAATTATACTGGGTAACAAAAAAATATATTTTCTGCTGAATTAATTTTGTTAATAGTTTTATTAAATACCTTCATCAGACATATTCGAAATGTATGTACGGATTGACTCTGGTTCTTGTGATATTATATTCGATATAAACTTATCATATAAAAAAGTATTAACTTACCTTCCTAGATTGTATTAATTTGAACATACTCAATCAAAGTATGTTTTCTATTCACTTAGATATGTAGTTATAATAGTTTCGGTTAATTGAGATATAAGAAGACCAGGATATGAGTATGTGTCCTAAGTTAAGTGCATTGCATTAATTCTCATAAGTTTCTCGCGAAAGTTTTTTGCTATCGATCCCAGCAGCTTTTTTTTATATGTGGCAAAGGATATTGCTCAGCTTCCATACATGTTTGGCCTAAAGATCAATAATCATAAAAATCGTTTCCTAGATTCGAAATTATATATAAATTACTGTAGAAACGAATATTATTGACGGACACCCCTGAGAACTTCTATAAACCATATACACTGAACGATTTTGAGGTTACGTTTGCAAATAGGTACAGGTATTAAAATAATAAAAAACAAATAAGTTATATAGTAAACTAGGGAAATCAAGCCAAGTACCGAAATTATGTATTAGATTCAGGTATATAGAGCATGTAGATTAACAGAGAGTTGCCATTTTTTAAAGTTAATGCACAAGAGTAACTTTTTAAATCAGGTATCATCTATGCATTTCCGGTTATAATAATATCTTATCTCTGTGACAGAAACTGTGTGATGATTGTGAATGAGCTACAGATTAGAGAGAATTTTCAAACTCTCGTAACCAAAGAAAGCTAAGTGATTTGGGTTATACAACCTTATCTTCAGTAGCTTTATTATTTTTGTTGTTTATATTATAACCATATTTTAAATTTTTAGTATATCACACCTTATAATGTGTTTATGGAGGTATTTGGCGAAAAATGTATGGCACTAGACTTTATGATGTCGCCTACCATCTATAATAATTATAATAATTTGTCTTAGCACATTTGCATGTAGTGAAAATGATAATATAGTTGTGGATATTAATACCACAGTGTAATAAAAAAAATGATTTATTCATCGATCTTTACAAAATAGATTTGTTTTGATGTTACATACAAGTTCGATCAGTCTTTGGCTGAATGTTACTACACCCATAGCCATTAAAAATTATTCGTATGTTTTCCAATCCGGTAAAATTAAAAGTCCTTTTTAAAATGAAAATATTATACAAAGGTGTCCGTTAAAATCTAATGACTGTAAAATAAAGTATAAATTACGCCAAGAATTACCATATATGTCAATATTTTTTTTGCATTTGGGCCAATTTGAGCAATCTCCTTTGTCAGCAAAAACAAAGAAAAAAGATGACTGATTTTGTAAACCAAGCCTACCAAGCTGACTTGGGATAAAATTTGTTAAAAAAAATAAAAGGGGTTGCCAAATATATGTATTCTCTTTTGTGCCAGAGCCAGGGAGGAAGTAAAGGGCATATATTTCAAGTGCCGATCATATGAACTGACAACGGAACGGAAATAAATGTGCAAGGTATAAATCGGTACATAAAACATACTTGGGTTTATCTTATTGTTGGATCGGCTAAACTCATGATATGACACAGTAGAGATTTGCCAGTTCCAGTATTTTCAAGAACATCGACAGTCAGTCAGAAGAAAACTGCTAGTGAATTTGATGAATGTTTTTTAAAACACGGGGTTTTTCTCAAGAGGAGGTTAAAGATGGCTTAGGAACAAAGATGAGCATCAAATTACATTTAAATATATGTCAATAGTCACTTGGAAAGCTTCCCGGATAATCTTGGCGACTACAGTGAAGAACAGGGAGAAAGGTTCCATCAAGACATTAGTACAATGAAAAAAACAATACCAAGTCCGGTAGGAAAGCCATTATGATGGCAGACTATTGCTGGAGTTTATTATGGAATTGTCCTGAACATAAACAAAATAGAAAAGCCGACAGTAAGTTTTTTGTATTTTTTTTATGATTTTTGTTAACAGCACACATTGTATTATTTTTTATCGTTGTTATATTGTTGCATCTACAAATATTTATTTTAATTTTATTTCGACCAGTTATATGTATATTGATAAGTCTTATCTCATAAACTAGTCAATTTGACAAATCTGATATTTTCACGTATTCAGCATACTGAACTTACTCAAAACTGACTTCTACATACCATGCCGCAAAATGACTGTTCCCCAGTGTTATTGTTCTAACATATAAATTAAACCGAGTATTATTTACTTCTACTTACCCAGCAGAAAACCTTCGAGATAAGATAATCGTGACAACAAGTCATAATCAATAGTTTTCCCACTTGTTACTTCTATAACGTGTTCTCGAAGCCTGTTTTGGAGTTCTGGCTTCGTTGCTAGTACATGCACAGCAAAAGACAGCAAGGTACTGGATGTTTCGTAACCAGCAATTAGGAAAAGCAGCGATTGCGCATCTATAGTATCATCATCTAGATCTAAAAAGGGAGAATGTTTTAATTTTTTTGAATTAGAATGCTCGCCAACCCTATTAAAGAAAAAAAACAATTTCATATCATGCCAGTGGCTATAGTCAACTAAGTCCACGGGCAGCATTGTTTCTTTACTCAGGCGTAGGTTTAGGTGTGCTTTATGGCCAATGTAAAATATGAAATAGTACTGAAGGTGGTCGGTATTTTTTTATAATTATGGCAGAACTTATTAATTTTAAAGAATAGGCGTGAAAGCCACAATTAAGACAACAAGCCCACGCAAATAATGGCTATATTCCAATTTATATATACCTACATGTTACAGTTTGTTTTCTGTATCTCTCTAAACAAGATCTTGTTTGCTGTCAGTTTGTAAATTGATTTATGGTTAGATAACAAAATGCAATATACCTGCGTAAGTATCTACCTAAGCATAATAAATAAATTAAATGTTATCACAGTATATCTGTATCTTACAGCGATATTGAAATCTTGGTAATAAACTTTATTTTTTTCTTTAGTACTAATACTTCTATTTTCTGAAATCTTACGGCCGCACTGTGAGACGTCAATTAAATTTAATATATTGACTGAGTGCCGTGTTGTTTGTCTTATTCTATTGTTATCGCAAATAAATCTACACCATCAACTTAAATAAAAATTAATAATTAATTAATGTCATTGCGAATGACCGCATTTTACTTACATTTTTTCGATGTTGGATCGGACTTTTCATTTTCTGCAGCATCAATAAGAAGTTGGAGGAAATCATTTTTTCTGTAAATATAACAGATTGTTTTAACGGTTAAGTATCATTTGATTCAATATTATATGAATAATGAGAAACAATAAACTGAAGTGCAGGCCAGTCTTTCGCAGGAAGAGTTCTGTACCAGCATATAGGGAACATTTGATTTACTGCGGCAATATGGATACACATTCTGTGAAAACAAAGGACGTACATCTATGGACGGAACCAGAGCAGGGGTTTGTAATAGAGATCTGTTAGTACCCCTTGCGTATAGAACCCTGAACATAAAGAATCATTATAATAACTACATAACATTTGTGTCCATCAGCCCAGCAGCGCAATTACCTCCGATCGCCACGTCAATTTATTTCAGTCATTCTCAGTAGATACATTAATTGTACTCACTTTGTGTCGATATAGACAAAATAAATCGTGCCCCAGTGAGCTTGGAGATACAGGGGGTGGAGGGACTTCTGTATTTCGAAATCTATAGGTACATTTCCTTTCTACTTACATATTCATTTAGTACCCTCCAACTCTGTATTTCTGGATCTGGGTGACCCCAGGTGGGGTTTTTAATTTTTTGTGTAGAAAAGGTTTTTTCGTTATGATACTTATATATTCTTACTTGATCGCCGATGATTTTCTTTCTTCTTTAGCTGCTTTCAAGATTTTTACTAGCTCCTCAATACTAGGAGTATATAAAAAAGAGATGTTAAAATACTTAATCAAGTTTGGTATGAACATGAGTAGGGAGAATATGATGATCCTTTTAAACTTTGGCATGTAATTAAATTTTTCAGCTACCTAAAACAATTTTAATTAGTTTTATAGTTTTGTTATCAAAAGTTACTGTGGATTAGGAGAAACTTTAAATTTATTATAGAACGCACCAGTTAATAAATTATCCGTGCAGATCGTTTCCTATCAATGTGTCCATTTTTAGGTAATGGGCAAATTTAAGTAATTAATGGTACTGCTACCTATGTAACTTGTTTTTTGCGAGACTCCGATACCTAATTTCGGCACAACAGTACAACATATCAGAGGCTCACAAAAAGCAAATTCTAAAGAAGCCTGGGGGACATTGGCATGAAAAAGCTATGGCCATCGCTATCGCTTACGATTTTATTTCTGACCGCTGAAGGTTTTGAAATGCATCGCGCTCGATTTTTTTCTTTTGCATTGGTAATAACAATATTAAAGAAAATGAGCGTGAGGTATTTGAAAACCTTCGGGGGTCAGAAATAACAAAATGAAATCGTAAGCGATAGCGATAGACATAGCAAACCCGTTAGGCAAATGCCTCCTGTTCATATCCCCACAACAATCAACATACCCCTTTATCTCTCTCTCTGGTGATGGAGTTTCACATCCCTATCTTATGTAAGTTTAGATAAAAACACACCAATAACCCGTTATCTTGAATAGATTATTATTTATCTACTTACCTTTAGAAATTTTGCATTTTCATCAGTCAGAGCATCACATTTTATTCCGAAAGCACATGCACCGATGACTTCCAGTGTGAAATGCCCCATGATATCTTTCATCTCTACTTCGGTTTTATCTGTAATATAATTGGATATTGTAATCTATATTAATATCATAACGCTGGAGAGTTTGTTTTTTTTTTAATTTATTTTAACATGCTTAAAAATAAATTTAATATATATACGTAAAGCTCCTGTTTGTTAGGAGCTTGTATTTAAGGGATTGGTTCGTGAGCATTATCTTAATATAATTAATCTGCGTTCTCATATTTGAATGACATAATTATGTGTATGTATTGTAGATGTAGCATATATATATGTTTTTTAATATTTAGATGCATGTATTGTATATATATATATATATTAATATGTGTGTATTCTATTGATATATATGTTACCTACCTGGTTTATTTAGCATATGTCCTTATTGTACCCCCGTATTTTTTATTTCTCACGCTTTTACTGGTCGACTGGTAGAGAATGCCTTATGGCATTATGTCCGCCATTTGCAGTTTTTATAGCAATAAAGTATAAATAAATATCTAATCCACTTAATGGATTGTTAATATGTAGCATCCGCCGGCTAATCTCAGGAAGTACCAATCCGATTTGAAAAATAATTTGTGTTGGATAGTGCATTTATCGAAGAAGGCTATATAACATCATGCTCAACGTTAAAAAAAACCCAATTTCAAGGCATCCCTTGCGTGCGCTGCGCGAACGTTTATTTGTTTGTATTTTATTTATTTACTAGCAGCCGCCCGCCACTTTAGCCGGATTAACTTTAGTTTCTTCAGAATCCCTTAGGAACTCGTCATTTTGTCGGGATAAAAAGTATGTGTCATATTTTGTCATTTAATTTAAGCTTCATCATGCTTAAATATTTAAATTAATCAATATTTCCAACACACACCAATAATGCTTTTATTTATTTTAAGCATTTGACTGCTAGATGTCTAAATCTAAAGAAAAGTTTTACTAGGAAAAAAAATCCACGCGGACCAGGCAGCGGACGGGACTCGAACCCGTACCCTTCGCAATCCGGGCGAATGCACTGACCAATACGGTAATAATGAAATATCATTATGAAATAATTTACGAGAGTAATAAATGGTAGGTATTGTAGTGATCGGATCTTTTTGGTGTATACTGGCAGGTTATAAGGTAATTTGGAAAAGAGACGGATTGTTGCCAGGAATTCATAGCTGGAAAATAAAAAATAGGAAGATTTGTGTAATAATAATGTAATTTCTTGAAAATAAAAGTGTGTGAAGCAGATATCTTCAACCGGTTGAGCTGAAATTTTGTATATACACGGTTAGCTGTGTGACGTCATTCTAAATCAACATGGCGCAATAGTTATTTTTAATGCATTCCTACGATATGGGTATATGGGCTTGCGGGGAATCTTTACATATAAAATAAAATATTTACAATCACAAAACTAGAAAGAAACTCAATTATGTAGATGAAATTAAAATACTGCAGGCGGGCGGCCCTACCGCGAGTAACGCAGCGCTTGGCCGTAGGCATTTATTTCAAAGACAGGGCCGAGTCACAATACTGTATAGATAATATTACCGTGGTGCAGGTTCGAGTCCCGTCCGCTGCCTGGTCCGCGTGTTTTTTTTCTAGTAAAACTTTTCTTTAGATTTAGACATCTAGCAGTCAAATGCTTAAAAATAAATATAAACATAACTATAATTGCTATTTCTTCTTTCAAATGTTTAATACTTGAAAAAGTATTCATTTGACATTGTGGGTTACCTACAATGCGAAGAGATGGCGCTGCCTTGCAGCTCAAGGCTAGGTAAATTTCGACGCGGCTATGAGGGCTGTGGTAGTAAGCACTGTAAGGCTTGTGGTATGGGATACTATAGACTTAGGCCCGTGTCAAAAATTGATAGGTCATTTGAACCACCAGAAGACCTATTTAGAAAGATGAAGGACATTAAATAATAAGATTCAGCACTGTGCCGTCACTGGTAAGCTGTCCAACTGAGTGCAGATGAGAATTCAAAAGTACAGATTGAGGTAGTACATTTTGGTCATATAATTTTGTACGGCATTCTTACCATCGATAGATCCATGAAAAATAATAAGAAAACACCTAGTGCCGTGCCGGTGGGGCAATGCCCTACCTTGAAATCACAATTTAAGATATTTTTTTATAATTAAATTGTTTGTGTTTGTAAATCTAAACTTTTCCGAACATAGCACAATTTGTGATAATCATTTCATACTATAATTATTCTTTGTTCTGTGTATAGATGGCATATGAAGCGCTATCACATTCATGTGATAACCATCGCTTCAGCAATGGGTCAAGCAATCGAATTAAAAATAGAAGGCCAGCATAGCTTTTAATCAGTGTAGAAGACTAGTTGGTAAAAAGTGGGATTTTAGTCCAAAGATAATCCTTTTTTTAAACAAAGCAGTCATCAGGTCCTCTATAACCTACGTTGTTTGGTGGCCCAAGACCCGATTGACCACAGTGAAATCCAAAGTCTACAACGCTTGGCGATCGTAGCAGCAACTGGATGCACGAGAACACCTACATCGGCTGCATTAGAGTATCTCCTGAATTTAAAACCCCTAGACTTGGTCATACAAGAAGAGGCGAAAGCAGCAATGCGGCTTATGGAGATTAAACACTGTAACAACACATTCCAATATTCTATAAAAGTGCATGAAGGAGGTCTCACTCCTGGAGGCACCTATGGATAGAATATTGAGTCAACACGTCTTTGATCGAAGGTACGACATCCAACTTACCGCGGAAAAGGCAGATTACTCCGGCGCCGGGCAAGTTAGGATATACACAGATGGCTCCAAAACCTGTAGTGGTACTGGAGCCGGTGTCTTCTCAAACGACCTGAATATAAAAATATCTACAACCTTAGGCAAACTAAGCACAATCTTCCAGGCGGAATGTATTGGCATTACCAGAGCGGCACAGGCGGTTGCAGGCAGAGATATCAGAGAGTTTACCATTAAGATCGTCCCTGACAGTGCATCCGTACTACAAGCCCTACGCAGCAACACAATAAACTATCTCCTAGTAATGGAGTGCCACAAGGCACTTCAATCCATTGCGGTAAGCAAAACGGTAACTCTGCAATGGATAAAAGGACATATCAGCTCAATTGGAAATGACGCAGGAGACGAATCGGCTAAGAGGGGAGCAGACAGAAAAATGTATGGTCCGGAACCTTTGCTGCCCATACCTCAGGCCCAAATTAAAACGTGGCTGCGTGAAAGTACTGAGAAATCATACTTGACAGAGTGGAAAAAAGGTGAAGCAAATAGCGACAAACTTCGCAAGATTATAGGAGCACGACTTCTCCAGTTACCAGAATCGATTCCGAAAGCTTGCAGCAGTCTTCCAAGGCTGCTTTCCTTCTGGACTAATATAGGCTAGCTGGAGTAAACGGAAATGTTTTGAGACCCGCACAATGTTTCAATAATTAGGACTAGGTGCGGAAGCCGCCCTGAAAAACTAAACTAAATCTTATCATTTAACGTCTTTCTCGTAATGTTTGTGTTTATCTTCGCTAATCTGTGGTTATTCGTCCTTAGACGACATGTGATGTTTTCAAGAACCTGCATAACAAAGTGTATACGAGTATTTAGCTCTAAATCCTGCCTGTTGGGTTGATTTTCGTTACAATCGCCTTAGGATTCAATTATTAAATTGCTTATACTGAAAAATAAAATTAGTTTTATTTTTAATTTCAGAAAGTGTATTTTTAAATAAAAAAATAATAATACGTAAACATTTTCCCTTGATTAAGTTTGATTTATTTTGAAAATATAACAGCTTTTGCAAGTGCTCTCAAACTTTTTTTGATGTGTGTATACAAAATATTTTCCAAAATTATACCTACTTAATCAGATAACGAAAGTGTTAGACGAAAATCAACCCAACAGGCAGGATTTAGAGCTAAATACTCGTATACACTTTGTTATGCAGGTTCTTGAAAACATCACATGTCGTCTAAGGACGAATAACCACAGATTAGCGAAGATAAACACAAACATTACGAGAAAGACGTTAAATGATAAGATTTAGTTTAGTTTTTCAGGGCGGCTTCCGCACCTAGTCCTAATTATTGAAACATTGTGCGGGTCTCAAAACATTTCCGTTTACTCCAGCTAGCCTATATTAGTCCAGAAGGAAAGCAGCCTTGGAAGACTGCTGCAAGCTTTCCGGAATCGATTCTGGTAACTGGAGAAGTCGTGCTCCTATAATCTTGCGAAGTTTGTCGCTATTTGCTTCACCTTTTTTCCACTCTGTCAAGTATGATTTCTCAGTACTTTCACGCAGCCACGTTTTAATTTGGGCCTGAGGTATGGGCAGCAAAGGTTCCGGACCATACATTTTTCTGTCTGCTCCCCTCTTAGCCGATTCGTCTCCTGCGTCATTTCCAATTGAGCTGATATGTCCTTTTATCCATTGCAGAGTTACCGTTTTGCTTACCGCAATGGATTGAAGTGCCTTGTGGCACTCCATTACTAGGAGATAGTTTATTGTGTTGCTGCGTAGGGCTTGTAGTACGGATGCACTGTCAGGGACGATCTTAATGGTAAACTCTCTGATATCTCTGCCTGCAACCGCCTGTGCCGCTCTGGTAATGCCAATACATTCCGCCTGGAAGATTGTGCTTAGTTTGCCTAAGGTTGTAGATATTTTTATATTCAGGTCGTTTGAGAAGACACCGGCTCCAGTACCACTACAGGTTTTGGAGCCATCTGTGTATATCCTAACTTGCCCGGCGCCGGAGTAATCTGCCTTTTCCGCGGTAAGTTGGATGTCGTACCTTCGATCAAAGACGTGTTGACTCAATATTCTATCCATAGGTGCCTCCAGGAGTGAGACCTCCTTCATGCACTTTTATAGAATATTGGAATGTGTTGTTACAGTGTTTAATCTCCATAAGCCGCATTGCTGCTTTCGCCTCTTCTTGTATGACCAAGTCTAGGGGTTTTAAATTCAGGAGATACTCTAATGCAGCCGATGTAGGTGTTCTCGTGCATCCAGTTGCTGCTACGATCGCCAAGCGTTGTAGACTTTGGATTTCACTGTGGTCAATCGGGTCTTGGGCCACCAAACAACGTAGGTTATAGAGGACCTGATGACTGCTTTGTTTAAAAAAAGGATTATCTTTGGACTAAAATCCCACTTTTTACCAACTAGTCTTCTACACTGATTAAAAGCTATGCTGGCCTTCTATTTTTAATTCGATTGCTTGACCCATTGCTGAAGCGATGGTTATCACATGAATGTGATAGCGCTTCATATGCCATCTATACACAGAACAAAGAATAATTATAGTATGAAATGATTATCACAAATTGTGCTATGTTCGGAAAAGTTTAGATTTACAAACACAAACAATTTAATTATAAAAAAATATCTTAAATTGTGATTTCAAGGTAGGGCATTGCCCCACCGGCACGGCACTAGGTGTTTTCTTATTATTTTTCATGGATCTATCGATGGTAAGAATGCCGTACAAAATTATATGACCAAAATGTACTACCTCAATCTGTACTTTTGAATTCTCATCTGCACTCAGTTGGACAGCTTACCAGTGACGGCACAGTGCTGAATCTTATTATTTAATGTCCTTCATCTTTCTAAATAGGTCTTCTGGTGGTTCAAATGACCTATCAATTTTTGACACGGGCCTAAGTCTATAGTATCCCATACCACAAGCCTTACAGTGCTTACTACCACAGAACAGCAGCTTCCCTGAACTGCGGCACTGTCCAGGGTGGTGGCTGCCGGTTCCAAACAGCTCTCTTAAGAGCATCCCACGCGTGCTCTATTGGGTTTAAGTCAGAAGAGCCGGCAGGCCAGTCTAACCTTGTGATTTCATATTCTCGGAGAACAGCATTAACACGTTGAGCTCGGTGTGCGGGCGCATTATCGTCAACCAGTACAAATTGGCGCCCATGGTTTACTCGGAAAAGTCTGACAATTCCATCAATAGCGACTGTTTTGTATCTGTCTGCCGTCATGAAGCCTTGAAAAGGGATAAAAGGCGTTCTAGCCCCTATCATAATATAGGGGCTAGAACTATATTATGATAGGGGCTAGAACGCCTTTTATCCCTTTTCAAGGCTTCATGACGGCAGACAGATACAAAACAGTCGCTTTGCCTTTCAGAGTCTCCAGGTCTTCTCCAAACACGGACACGTCGGTTATCTGGATGAGTACTGATTTGCGATTCGTCAACGAAGAGGCAGTTTTGCCAATTGTTTTCCTCTTCGTCTTCTTCGTTTTGCCGAAGCCAGCCCACTGTAAACTCCGTCGCTGACGTTCCCGTGAATTCAAAGGTGCTCACCAAGACCTCCGTGCTCGTAATCCCGCCTTGTGTAAGCAATTCCGAATGGTCTGAGTGCTAACTTCCAAGCCCAGAGCCGGCCCGTATTTCTACTTTTAATTTCATGGCGTTTATTGTTGGGTCGCGGGCTACCAGCAACCTGATGTAGCGCTTCTGAGCAGCTGTCAAAACAGTTGGGTGACCGCTGCGGGGTTGATCAGCTAAATTACCCATGTCGTGGTATGTCTGCAACATGGTTACTACACAGGATTGGGATATGGCAACTCTGCGTGCTATTTCTCCCGTAGAATAGCCTTCTTCCCTCAAAGTTACAATCCTGGCTCGTAAAAAATCTGATAATCCTCGTGGCATTTTTTAAATCAAAACTTTCCATGAAAACATATTTTAAATTAGAATTTCAGCTGGGATTGCATGTCTTTTTATATGGAAAAACAATTGAATTAATTTATTGTTTTACATTCTAATTCTAATTTAAAAATTTAGAATCTTATCAGAAAAAGAAATTGCAAAAAAATCTTCTGTAATCCAAAACCTATTTTTCAAAGTGATCACAAACTTTTTTTGATGTGTGTATGTCGGTTTTAATATTATATTTTGTAACGTGTTAAAAACGTCACATGGATCTCCTTCGCTCGAAGAGCGAGATAGAAGATTTTTTTTGGTTGTCTCTCTGGTCGTTTTTATCTCGCGCCCATTTTCTGTAATCTGTGCACTTTTGAATAATTATGTTGGTAAATTTATCGAGCAGTGGGCTGAATGGACGTTGTTCTCTTTGCCTACCACCAAGAATGACATGTAAGAATCGTAATCGTAATTTTTCACATGATAATTCATTAGATTGTCAATTATTTTTTAATGGTAAGTGTTTTTCCAAATTCGAAAAGTGTTTTAATTCACATATTTCAATGATTTATCTTAGAATACATTCCTTTTCAGATGAAACATTTTACATCATCATACAAAATGGCGTTGACCATGCTTTAAGTTTAATTTAATTGAAAAAACGGTAAGAACCTTAGAGATTCCCATAGATTTACATTTTTCCTTTGTTGTGAGCCATGTGCTAATCTGAGGAATGTTCGTTTTCAGCGAAAAGCGTTTTTTTTTTATATATGGAATTTTATTTGGATATCGTATCCAAATCACGATGTTTCCCGTGATGTAGAGGTGAACCCATGGGATGTAACAACGGCCATCCCTTACATATTTGCAACACCAGACATACATAACTCCAAAGATGCAGCAAAGTCGGTAATATTCAAATTTATGGTTGTACCAGCACCCATATTAAAGGTAAATTTTCATTTAATTCTTGGTAGTCATAGTGTAGAATAGTTTCTAAATTTAGCAGTAACCCTTTTGGACGTAAGTAATTTTGCAGTAAATTTCAATATATAGACAACCCAAAATGAGAATGGATTTGCATTAATTCCCCTTTGCGATTAATAGTTCGATGCTTTCCCAGCTAATATGGTATAATAATGTGGTAGGTCTGGCGCCCGAGTATTCTTTTTTTAATTAATTTCGGCCTGTCCATTTCTCTCAAACTTTTTATTTTTTAATATTACAATTTGATGTTTTCCATTGTTTGGGTCATTACGTTAGTTATACAAAAATCATGTTTGATGAAATTGTTACCCTTTACAAGTTCTATAAAAAAACAGTCCACCACAGACAACACAAAAAGTTTGTACCTCAAATTAATGATGATTAAAGGGGAAGAAACTGCAAGGGACCTTAGTATAGGATAAGTACATAGAAAAATATCAAATACAATCAGTATTTCAATAAATTCAAATGCATTTTATCAGGCTTACCATATTGTTTTAAATATACTATCATTTGTTCACAGCACATTTCAATCAGAGGCAGCATATTTTTTAAACGTGCCGAGCTGAAAGCTGGAGTCAGTGTACTTCGAACACCTTTCCATTCCGAACCCTACATAATAATCAAATATTTCAATTAAAATTCTTGCACAAAAAAAAATATTATCGTCATCAGCACTAATGATTTCTTTATTTATGCTGGTGTTACTGACCTTTAAATTTAATAGTGACTGTTTTAAATATCTTGGTTCATTGGAATTCAGAGCATTTCTGTCCACAAAATGCTCAAAGTCTCTAATGGTAACAGCCTTAATAAGTTCAGAATCAAGTAGGTACAAAACTGGCCTTCGGCCTTCAAATAATCCTGAAAATGATAGAGTATAAATTAAAATGGGCATGGGTTGGATATGTCTCTCAAAACAAATGGACATAAATAGAAGCTAGTGTACTTACCTCCACATGGATTTCCTTTAAAGTAATTATAAATATCTAATTGAAAGGCATGAAATGACTTTTTGGCTAATAGCCTCTGACCCAAATTACCAAGAAATATTGTTGGTTTCATAAATTTAACTTTTTTCTTTTCGAAAAAGTCAAAGGTACTTGTGTAATAAAAATATACGGAGAATATAATGGTTAAACCTAACAACAATTTCCAATCTTCCATCACAAAGTTAAATATTTTCCTTGTGCCTATGCTAAATTCCATTTTCTTTAACTAGCTCACTTTTAAAAATATATTAAACAATACATAAATCAAAAGTTGTTTTGTTTATCTCTCAAGCATCAGCACGTACAGCATCACTTACAACAGACTCACAGAACTTTATTACTCTAACACAAACTAGTGACTAGTGATGCTAGCGCATCAGACGGCGAACTCCTTTATCGACATTACGAAACCTCACTTTTTTTATTATTATAATGGCTCGCACGGTTTGTGCATTGGCTACGACAGGGTAAAAGGTAACCTTTTTAATTTTTTTTTTGATTTTGACATTTGACATTTATTTTTTGAAACATAGTTTTTATAAATACTTGGATAAGCGTCTTTTTAGTCACATTATTTCCTGTAGGATATTGGGATCCGCTTTTCAATGCTTTTATATTTGAAGGTATTTTGGAAATAAGAGATTGCACTATTTGTATTTTTTATTTTTCAATTTTGTTTTGTATTTATTAAAGGCTTTTGTTTGCATAACAGGTAACATCTTATTTTGTAGGCGATGTACATCTCTGCCTTTTAATATTATATTAATAATGTTACACCAATTATGGATAGATTTTAATAAAGTATATGCAAACCGCGCACTAAGGAAATCAAACATATACTTGGAGCGCATTATTGATTTCAGCGTTTTTATTAAATTACAGCTTTGAGGCTAATCTTCCAAGTATGTGTTTGTTTCCTCATTTATTATACCAAATAACCTCACTGCTTGCTCTGATGGGTAGGTCAATTTCTTTGTTTTAATACTTTTATATTCTCTTATGCAAATCCAACTATTTAATGAATGTTTATCTACAATACATTCTTTTGATGTCAAGTTGTTTTTACAATCCATGCATTCTATTTTATTTAACACTAGCGACACTTTTAATCTCTCAACAGGTTTTACCTAAAAGAGCTTTTCTTTGCTTCAATGCTTTACCTGTTCAAAAAAAAAACAATATCGTTTATTCAGTCTAGACTGTTACAAGCACTTGTGAATTTCGAAAAGCTACGCCATCGGTTCGCAAATCTACGGCGGGAGACCTTGTACTGATAAGAACCGGCAAGAAACTCAGCAAGGGCTGTTTTTTTCTCCCTGTAGGTATTATATACAGAGTCGTCAATTTGAAAAATGACTTCAATATGAGATAACTCATGAAGTTACTTTCCATTACAAATGTAAATGATAAAACAATTATGACTATAAAATAAAAAATATAAAAAACAGATTTAAAAATAAAAAAAGTTTAGGAATGCCGTGTCCTACTGTTTAGGCATAAAAACAAATGTACCATTAAAGTTAAATACAACGATTAATAGTACTCAATGTAGCAAGAGCAGACTCATCTCCGCTGGCAGCACTCGTTTACGAGCATGAGGCATGAACCAGCCATCGCTTCGCTCAACCATTTTTTAGGGAACGTAACGACCCGCCTCACACGACACCGCCGAAGAGTCTTTTAAGAGAGCATGACTACTCATAACCACATGGATACTAGATAGCAAAATAGGGGAAAAAAAATAAGTACCAGTGTACATTACTATAAAAAACTATAAACACAACTGTAGGACACATGCATGTGATTACCTAAACGCTAGTGTCGACTCTGCCACTACTGTCCAAACCCAAAACCAAACCCAACATCAGTGCCCCCCCTTCACTCTGTATAGAGAATGACAAGGATACACCGCTGCAAAACCAAAGTTCAGGTCTAGAGAACCATGCCAGAATCCACACCACCATTAAATCTTTATCTCAGAAACAATAAATGTTCACCTAAATTTTGATCTTGATTGCTGTGTGTGCCATACAGTATAAATACAATTACAAATAAAATTTAAATTAAATGATTAATTATCATTATAATAATAATAAAGTAGTATAGAGCAGACTCATCTCCGCTGGCAGCACCCGTTCACGAGCATGACGCATGAACCAGCCATCGCTTCGCTCAACCATATTTTAGGGAACGCAACGACCCGCCTCACACGACACCGCCGAAGAGATTTTTAAGAGAGCATGACTACCCATAACAGCTCAAACCAAACTGCAAAATAGTAACTTAGAGTTAAGGTAATTTATCTGTACGACACTGCAAACAAATACAAAACAATTTTGCAGTTACGGCCATGCAGTTTTGTCATTCAAGTATTCTTTAATAGTATAATAGCCTTTCTTAAGTAAACAACTTTTAATGTGACATTTGAACTCATTTATGGGTAACTCAACTCTCGGACAGCTTGTATCATTTCAAGCCCAGATGGCACAGGAAATCGACAGAAGGATCGTTAATGCTTGGAAAAGGTACTGGTCTCTAAAAGATATCATGAAGAATGCCCACTTCACCATATCAGTGAAAAGAAAACTCTTTAACTCTCTCTCTCTCTTATACTCATGTATCTTACCAATACTAACATATGGTTGCCAGACTTGGGCCATGACACAAGCGCTGCAAAACAAACTAAGAACGTGTCAGAGAGGCATGGAGAGAAGTATTCTTGGATACAGAAGGAGTGACAAGAAGAGAGCTACCGACATCAGAAAACGCACAAAAATTGAGGATGTCATTCAAAAAAGTAGGCAACTCAAATGGAAGTGGGCAGGTCACGTCACAAGAGACGAAATAGGAAAGTGGACAAGGAAGACCACGGAATGCATCCCCAGAATGAACACTTACCGTAAACGTGGACGACAGCTGAAAAGATGGTCAGATGACATAAGAAGGGTAGCTGGCCCGCTATGGCTGAGGTTAGCAAGGGATAGATCGGGGTGGAAAAGGCTGGAGGAGGCCTATGTGTCTGCAGGACACGCTGAATTATAAGTAAATGTTAATGATGTGTATTTTATGAAGTTATCAGCAATAAAGGCTTTTGTATTTGTATTATGGGTAACTCAAGAACAGCATCAGGTATTTTATTGTAAAAATGTATACCTTGACCCATAAAAGATCGGTAAACCTTCTGTAACCTGTAGGGTGGCAATGCAAGCTTGTTTCTATTCCTTGTGTTAAAATTGTGCACGTTACTGTGTTTGATATACAAATTGATATTATTTTTAACGAGGAGTATGCAATTGTAAATGAATTGAGAAGCAACAGTCAAAATGCCAATTTTTCTCTAAGAGATGTACGGCTACTCAATTGATAAATAGATCTCACAACTCTTTTTTGTAAAATGAATATACTTTCAATATCAGCTGCTGTTCCCCAGAGTAAAATGCCGTATGATAAGATACTACGAAAGTAACTAAAATATACAGTCCTGGCAGTATGTTGATTTGTATATTTTCCCTACTGTACAGTGCTTTAATTGTTGTCGCTATGGTCATATTAAGAATCAGTGTAGATCTGTTCCAAGATATTTCAAGTGTGGCAATAGCCACGCTGGTGAGAGCTGTAATATTGATGATGATGATGTTGTGTGTTGCTTGTGTTCTGGTTCTCACTATGCGACCAATAGTAAATGCCCAGAGTTTGCAAGACAGAAATCTATAAAAGAGACCATGGCGAAAAATTGTGTTTCATATGCTGAAGCATTTAAATTACATCCTCCAGTTATGAAATCCTATTCTGAAGTGTTATCTTCCACAGTACCTCCATTGTCTCCTACAAAACAAAAACATACAAATTATAATAATGTAAACAAATCTTCCTATAAAAAGACATATTTAGTGAAATCAAATCCACCCAAAAAGGACAGCATAGGGTATGATAAGGTAGCCCATGCTGCATTAACTCAGAACTATGATATCCCTTTACCATCAATTGGCACCTTGAAAAATAATCCTTTATCTACTTTGTCAATAAAAGATTTAATTATTGTTTTAATTAAGTCACTCTCTCAACAAAATAATTATTTTGAACCGTCCAACGCTGCTATTTTAAATATGAATAATTTAATTAATAATAATGATACCAATAACGGATCTTCAGTCCACAATCCTTCAGTGGAATTGCCGCAGCATAAGGAATAAAAAGTCAGACTTACTGTATATTATTAACATATACAAACCAATTATTATGGCACTACAAGAAACATGGCTCCAACCCAACACTAACTTTAATATTTCCAATTATTTTTGTTTAAGAGAATATAGAACTGATAGCTATGGTGGTGTTGCCTTATTAATAAGTGACACTGTTCCTTTCCAGCATATTCCAATTACTAACCATAGTACTGACTTCTCAATAATAGCTGCATCCGTTAAAAATAAATGCTTTGTGTCAATCTCAGACCAAAGTGTCAATATACATTCCTCATCCGTCATCCTCTACATATGATGAAGTAGCAGCTATTCTATCGCGATTACCTAAACCTATTTTGATAATGGGTGATTTTATTATATCAAAAAAAATCAACATCGATCTTGGGGTAGTTCTAACTCAAGCTATTATGGCGCTAGAATTTTAGATATTGTAGATGAAAATAACTTTTGTATTTTAAACTCTGACGATCCGACTAGACGCACACATCCTAATGAAGGCATAAGCGCCCCGGATTTATCTATATCCACCCCCAATTTAGCTTCCATCTTTTCATGGAGCACGCTTTCCTCCACTTTCGGCAGTGACCACTTCCCCATATTATTATCATTCCCTAAAACAGTTTTACAATCGCGTCCTAAACGTTCACCTAGACTAAAACATAGAATTAACAATGACAGTGACAGCTGGGAGAAGTTTAGGGAGCTAGTTGCGCAAAAAGTATCATCTCTTCCCGACGTTCAGCTTAATGATCTAACAATGTGCACAGATGCGTTTGCGTTGGTTCTAATAGAGGCTGCTGATTCGACCTTTCTGCGTAAACAATCTAATAGAAATATTCCCTCACCGCCTTGGTGGGATTCTGAATGCACAGCAGCAATAAAGCGTAGAAAAGTAGCTGAAAAAAAATATTATAATAACAGTACAAATGACAACTTTGACAAATGGCCCTTGATATTTCCCCATCTGCTATTTGGACTAATATCCGAAGATTTAGATCGGCGTTCAGAGAACCAACTCAGAAGTTCATAAATGAGGAAGTGGCTGATAAATTCCTTGATAAATTAGCTCCCCTTTTGTTTCCCCGGATAATACACCTTTATTCAAATCTATTAACAACACGATTGATAATTTATCTCATGACCACGTGTCGCGACGGCAACACCAGTCGCGATGTTTGAGGTGGCAACACATATCAATTGCCGCTATAACTAATGTCAATGTCAAGTAAGCCGCTCTTTTTTCTCTTCTTGTTTGTTGTGCTATTTTAACTAATATACTATTATTACCTTGTACTGTTATTTAATAACTGTTATGTGCCATAAAAATGTGCCTACCTGATGCGTGCCTGTCTACGAGCTCGAGAACCAACGGAATATAACGAAAGCTAAGTAGTAGAATAGTTCACCTAAATAATAGCCTGTTTGCATCTCATGAAAAGTTTGTAAGTGTAAAAATAAGCGCTTGCCTGCGCTCTTGACGGTAAAAAGATACTCTCTCACACCGGCGTAAGAACGGGAAACGCCTGTGTCATTGACATAATTATAACAATATAAAAGGAGGTAAAAAGATACTCTCTCACACGGTGAAAGTACCGGCGGCGTTAAAGGCGTGAACCGCCTGTGGCATTGACATAATTATAACAATATAAAAGAGGAGGGCTTGTGCTTCTGCAGGAGGCAAGTCCTAGGGTACCCTACCGAAAGACCACAAGAGAGAGTGTTATGGCATGCGCAGCGCTATGTCTGGACGGAGCTGGAATAGTGGCTGAGCCAGATGGGAGACGTTCCATAGTAGTGCCATAAGAAGTGGGCGACGCGACTCTTGCATGTGGGCGCACGCAAGGGTTGCGTGGGGAGCAGGCGACGGCTTGGCTCTCATGCTCACACCGCTCTGCAGGAGCGTAGGACACATGGCATAAAGTCATGTTAGGAAATCTCCGCATCGTTTAGACAGCTAAAGTAGATTGTTAAGTTAACATGGGTAATTGACATATAGATGATCTTGATACTCATTTATGACAATATTTATGTGTTCTATGAATCCTGGAATTCTACCGTGATGATGGTGTGACTCCGGGACTTAGTGGCACCACGCAGTGGTGTCATAATTTTATTTATACTTACAGATGGAGTAAGAAAGAGATGAGAGGCATGGACGGACATTCGCTGGTGCTTGAAGGTACATACAATATAATCTATGGTAAGTAATCACCCTTCATCTCTCGATTCTCCCTTTGTCACGTGTCTATCGTCAAAATCTCGCGATCCACGGTGGATACGTTTGTATCACGGATATGGGCTGCATTGGCAGCCCCGCCCCCAAGAGGGTCGCGACACCACGGCCTCAACTCTCCTTTTAGCCTAACTGAACTAAAATGTGTTTTGTCCTATGTAAAAGATTCTGCCGCTGGGAGCGATGGAATCCCCTATTCATTCATATCTCACTTAAGTGACGACAGTCTTGTTTACTTATTACAAGTGATCAACTCTAATATGGTTAATAACGAAATTCCTATATCATGGAAAACTCAGGAATTAATTCCTTTATTGAAACATAATAAACCCCCTGCAGATCCAAATTCATATAGACCTATAGCTCTGGCTTCAGTTCTTTCTAAAATAGCAGAACACTTAGTTAAGAACAGATTGGAATGATTCTTAGAAAATAAAGCTCTTCTTGCTTCCAGCCAGTATGGCTTTCGAAAAGGTAAAAGCACCATGGATAGCATAGGCATTTTCACCACTGATATCAGATTAGCCTTCTCAAATAATCATTCCCTTCTTGCTGCATTTATTGATATATCTGGTGCTTCCGACAATGTGGACATCCAAATCTTAAAAAACAAACTCATAAAACTAGAAGTTCCTTTGTTTTTGATCGATTTCATTATTAACCTTCTTTCGGAAAGATTGATAAAAATAGATATGGGAGATGGCAATTTTAAATCTAGGCTGACATGGAGAGTACTATCTCAAGGTTCGGTTTTGAGTCCTTTACTGTACAATGTCTATACGTATGATTTGGAGTCTTACATCGCAGGTAGAGCTAACATTTTACAATATGCGGATGACTTAGTTTTTTATGTATCCGGATCATCTATTATTGAATTAAGTCAATCTTTAAGTAATGTGTTAACACTCTTAAAATCATGGTTAGATAATAACTCCCTGAGTCTTTCTGTTTCTAAAAGTTGTGCCGTTTTATTTACAAGAATAAGATCACCCCCATCATTTTCTGTACATTACGATAATGACATAATTCCAGTGTATAATGAAGCTAAATTTCTAGGAATCATTCTAGATTCCAAATTAACTGGCTTATCACATTGCTATTATGTATTAGCTCGATGTGAAAAATTATTAAACATTTTAAGATGCCTATCTGGTGTTTGGTGGGGAGCTCATCCATCAACACAAAAATTAATATATAATGCTATTATCAGAAGTATCCTTGATTATGGAACTTGCTTTCTGGAGCCCTGTAGTGCATTAGCACTAAGTAAGTTAGATGGCATCCAGTCTAAAGCTCTTCGCATTGTAACTGGCGCCATGAAGTCAAGCCCTATTAATGCACTCCAGGTTGAATGTGTGGATCCTCCTTTAAAACTAAGGAGACAATTTTTATGTGATAAATTTCTATTTAGAGCTCTTCAACTTTCTGACAACCCTCTTTTTAACAAGTTACACCATTTATTGCGTAAAATTAATAATTCGGCATATTGGAATAACAAGTCGCTTCCTTGCTTGGTAATTAGCTACATTAAATTTACTTCACTGCTAGCACCCACCCACCGATCACAATATCTTCCCATTTTTTCTATTAATTATGAAGCTCTTACCATTTCAGCCAAAGTAATTTATCTAGACGTAATGATAAAAATGCTAATATTAATCTAATGAGTATTGTTAATACAGAATGGCCAGACTGGCATTACATTTACTGTGACGCATCTAAACATCCATCTACTGGGATAGTTGGAATCGGTGTTTACCACCAACAGTATAAAATAACACAATAAATTAAATTACCCCCAGAAACCTCAGTATACACAGGAAAATGTTATGGAATCCTTAAATCATTAGAATACATTTTGCTTGCACAACTCAAAAAGACAATTATTTTCTCCGATTCCAAAAGCACTTTACAGGCAATAGAAAAATTTCCTTTTAAAGCTTCTTCTTCTAACGCCTATTTGATCGATTGTAGAAAATTATTACTGAATTGTACTTTGAAGAATCTAAATGTGCTCTTTGCATGGATACCTGGCCATCATAACATCACAGGCAATGAAGTAGCTGATAAACTCGCTAAAGATTCAGTGAATTGTGGTGACGTCTTTCCCTATAAAAAATTTGTAAATGATCTTGTTTTAGTTCCTAAAGTACATCTACGCATATCTTGGGAAGAAAATTGGGATACTAGTAGTCGCATCAAAGGTAAACATTATAAATTAATTCAACAATGTATTCCCGATAAACCATGGTTTTCTAAAATTCATTTAAGTAAGTTTGCCACATCAAGTCTCATAAGAATGCGCCTAGGTCATAACTGTTCTTCTTCCCACCTGGCTAAACTGGGCATAGTAAATAATAATATTTGTGCTTGTGGTACTGGAGCAGAGGACTTAAATCACATCTTCTTCGAGTGTCCCCTCAATGATTCCGCCTCTTTTATGGATTCATTAATATCCCTTAATGTACCTCTCCCTACTTCTATTCCTTCCTTATTGTATTATAAAAATTATAATATATATAACAAGCTATCTGAATTTCTAACTAAACATAATATTATATTATAAATAATTTATAACAAATAATGTAATGTATTTTATATACTTAAATAGACCTATTACTTACGTTTCAAATTAATATTACGTACCTACCTGATCCTAATCCTTCCAAATTCCGTTTCACAACCATTTTATTTCATTATTTTGGTTTCCTTACCTTTTACCCTGTCGTGGCCAATGCACAAACCGTGCGAGCCATTATAATAATAAAAAAAAGTCACATTTTTGACTAGTTTCTCGTATTTTACCTTTTGCCTCAGTAATCGTAAAATTACTAACTTGTGGTTCACTTTAAATAAACTTAATTAATTTTAAAATGGGGAAAACTTCAAAAGACAAACGTGACATTTATTACAGATTGGCTAAAGAAGAAGGTTGGCGAGCAAGAAGTGCTTTCAAATTACTGCAAATAAACGAGGAATATAACATTTTCAACGGCGTTTTACGAGCTGTAGATCTTTGTGCTGCGCCAGGTAGCTGGAGCCAAGTATTAACTAAAAAGTTGCGTCAAAATGCAGCGAATACAGAAGATGTAAAAATTGTGGCTGTTGATTTGCAGGCCATGGCGGCGCTTCCTGGAGTAATACAAATCCAAGGAGATATCACAAAACTATCTACGGCCAATGAAATAATAAAAGAATTTGAGGGCCTTAAGGCTGATTTGGTTGTCTGTGATGGTGCACCAGATGTTACTGGATTGCATGACATTGATGAGTATGTACAGTCGCAGCTTCTACTTGCTGCCTTAAATATAACAACACATGTACTCAAAACGAATGGTGTATTTGTGGCAAAAATATTTCGAGGAAAAGATGTTACACTTTTATACTCTCAACTAAAACAGTTTTTTGAATTTGTCACAATTTCAAAACCGAGGAGCTCCAGAAATTCCAGTATTGAAGCCTTTGTTATTTGTCAAAATTATCAACCACCCCAAGGATATGAACCCACTATGGCGAATCCTTTGCTCGACCATAGGTACTGTGATTTTAACCAATTCACAGGTCCGAATAGGTACATAGTCCCATTCAATGTATGTGGTGACCTAAGTGCATATGATTCTGATACATCATATTCATTGTTATTAGAAGGACAGACATCCTATGAATACAAGGATCCAGTGCAAGCACCAATTAATCCTCCATACAAAGAAATATTAGAAAAGAAAAAATATAGAGAATAAATGATTTCATACAAAACTGTTTCCTTGTATCTTTATGATTATAGCTAACTTAAGTTTCATTGATGTATTTCAGAAGACTTACAAAACATGAGAGGTCTTTTGTGAATACAGTCACCACACAGACAAAGAAATAAAGTAATAATAATTAAACTTACCAGTATTAAAAATACAATCAAAACCATGAATTAATAGGAGGGCAGTGGTTTTTCCATACAAACATTCTCGACTGATTCGCTATTCCTCCCTGATTTTTTACACCAAAGAATTGATTTTCATACATTAAATATGATTTTACTCATTCTATGCCCCTTTGTCTTCTTTTTTTTGATAACTTGTGTTTCAAATAATCTAGAAACCTTCAAAATGGGCCAAAATTAAACAAATTTTTATTACCAATAAAGATGTCTAGGGTGTAGATATAATAAGCATTTTTCAAAAAAGCATAACATAGAGGCATAGTATTACAAATTATTATTCTTTGTGTAAAATTTCTTTTATAATGCGATTCAACTAAGAATAGGACCGACTGTGCGCCATATTTTGACGTCATAGCTGTCAATTCAAACCAAATAGGTAGAGTGAGCAAAAAAGATTTTATTTAATAAAACTTCTAACTAATTTTAAGTAAGAAAAAGATATCTTATTTTCGGGGAGGAAATCGTGGAGAGCCAAACCACGGAATTTTGTAGTTTTTATATGCATATTTCAGAATTAACTACTGTTATCCCTATACATGCGACATTTGAGAAATAGGTATTTTTTTCAAATACCTACCTACTTCTCAAATGTCTCTCAGCTGGCGTCGGCTCTTATGATCTGCTAGGATCAGTATGTTTATTACAAATAACAATGGAACTCCTTCATGCCATTTTGCATAGAAAGCCATTCAGCTCTACATTTCGGCAGAAGTCATATAAAGACATTCCTATTCCATGGAAGTACGGACTAGCGGCCGCCCGCGACGTCGTCCACGTTAAGTTTAGTTTTTTGAGAATTCCCCGGGACCTTTTCAACCTCCCATCAAAATCATGGTACCCACTGGACCTTCATAATTGAATCTTACTTACATGACAGGACTTATTGCGTCATGATATACAGATTTACTATAATCGGCTTAACCTACGGTGAAGGGTGTGCGTTGCAAACAGGCACCACCATTCAGTTTTCGCGTTTAGAGGCTGCTAGGGTAGTGATTGCACCCAGGCGCAAAATGGGCTAGTCTCTTTTGTGACTGTCGTTTTATGTCAAAGTTCTCATGGTCACCTTCCTGCTCCGTTATGAGATCAGCTCCATGCTTCCTCCATGTTATAACAATATTCTATTGTCATTTGAAAGAGGTATATTAGGTATAGTCGTTATTCAGAAAATGGATATAAGTACATTTTTAAACGGAGTAATTAACCTACTTTCTCTATGATGACCACGATGATGACCAATGATGACTTCTAAGCTTGAAGCTTTGAAAGATTAACCTTTCGACCATAGCGACACAGACCGACTCCGGGACAGGTGAAGCTTGTAAAAATCAGAAGTAGTGTATACTAGGAAGTTATATCCCTAACAGTTACCGTTAGGTATATAACTTCCGAATCCTCTCGTCCGTGAGGGTAATTTTTTGTTTCCTCGACGGGGCGGGGAGTGGCTGTAAATCGATTCCGGCTGGCTGCAGAGTTGTGTCAAACTTGCTGACTAAAACACACCCGTGGGGGGTTGCAAGCACCCCCTGAGAAGTGGATGATGTAGATATGTGGGCCATTAATTGTACCATAATCAGACCCCTCATTCCCGCTTTGCCCCGCGATCGATAGGAGCCCCATAATCCTAATATGCCCAGCCCCTCTAGCATGACCACCGAAACGGGATATAATAAAGCGATTTAACGACATTTACTGTCAGACTACTGTCAAACTTCATAGTAGTCTGACAGTTAATGCCGATATATCGCTTTATCATATCCCGTTTTGGTGGTCATGCTAGAGGGCCAGGGCCTCGAATAGGTCAAAAGGCGGCACAGACCATAATGTACATACCTACTTGCAAAGCTATGCACTAAAAAATTATTGAGACAGTAGATTAAAAAACCGTAGTGTCATTTTCTAAATTTTTCAGTTAGGTTTTAATTAAAATTTTCTGTATTTATTTTAAGGCCTAGAAATTTTCTTTTGTAATTTTTACATCATGGGGAAATACAAAATGCCAACAGTGCAACAATTTTTAGCAAAAAAGGTATAAGTAATTAATATACAATTTTCCATATTTGAGTTAAAAAGTATGAGACATTATGTAGGTATTGGTTGTACTGAGTCTCTTCGTACTGCAAGGTGGCTCAATCGATTGGACCCAGTGACCCAGTGTATGCGGGGAATTTGACGAAGTTCCCATAACCATTTAAGTACCTTACATAAAGTGCGTGCTTTCAGACGGATACGCGGGGCTCATTTTTAAACACGGTCTACTGGAAAAAAATGTTTAGAAACTGTTGTGTGAGTGTTTAGGAGAAGCTATTTAATTCAACAAAGTTCGCGTGAGCTTGTGTATTATTTATATAAGATCGCACCACTTCTGGCTCCGCTTGTGGCACCGCTTCTGGCTCCGTTTGTGGCTCCGCTGTATACCGACCTCTCTAATCTGTGGCTGTCACTAACGCTCGCGAGAATCACCGCGGCTGTACGCCCGTAGCTATAGACACCGCTGATTTTTACGCCCTGCATCTTCATTGAAAACATCATAGTGCTTGTGTTTACGCGTATGATGATGCCGTGATGCGTGCTACAGCACGCGCCGCCTCTGCAAACGGAAAAAATACTAGGCACCGCGCCGCTAGGGACCAAAAGCTGCTGGCGACGCGCAACAGTCAGCGTCTATGTAAATGAACTCTAAGGAAGCACCTACGTCTGAGAAGTTTTTCGGTTTTCTGTTTGGCTAGATTTCGATCGTCCAGTGTTTGAAAATATATCCGGGTGAGTTAGAATGGGGGATTCTTTGTGGGATGGTGCCGTTGCCGTTGCCCTTAAAAGGATTCTCGTCTCCGTCTTAAAAAAGAACGAGGTAGGTATATCTTGATCACGACTTAAATTAGGAACTTAAGTAGTACCTAATTACCTACCTACGGAGATGGTTTATATAATCGCGATAAAGGCACATACTCATATTTCATTGTACATTTTTGTCTTCAGACTATCACTATTGGACCCAAACATGAACCGGTATGGATATATTTGGAGAGAGAAATGCGTGAAAATCTGCTTAAAAAACCATACAATGAGAAGGTGGGAAAATGGTTGCGGTTTTTAAGGGATCTAAAGCATTATTTCCATTGTGAAGGTAATATATCTAAACAATTTTTTGTTTTCGCGCTCCTCTTTACCTGTATGGACTTGAGATTCTGGGTTAAGTCAACTAGATAGGTATCTACTAAATGTAAAATTACTATAATTTACAATATTTTTTTTCCATTTGGTGCCAGTATTTAAAAAAACATGAAGTACCTATACATGTATTTAAAAAAACTTGACTAGTGAATTTACCACACTCAAAAATATTGCAGCTAAAAGAGAGGAAAGAAGATTACAAACTGAAGTAGGCCCGCCTTGGTATTTCGAACTGTCGAGCAGCCAAAGAGAAGTTTTAAGCCACTTGAAAGAAAATATTCATCAAGATTTACTAGAGGATCTACCTTCACGGATTCGAAAATCTCTTTCGGATTTAGGAGTAACAATGAAAATTCCAAAAGCTTTACTGATGAAGGCGATGGATGAGTCTGTTAATGACCCTGGAGTATTCATTTGGAATTTGTACACCTATTGTTTTAAAAAGCCACCTAGTGAATTGAGATCTTGTTAGTTCTTTATTGATTATAAAAGTGATTACAGTAAATAGTTCTTCTTGTGATGTTACAATAATTTTGGATAACGGATATCTAAAGAAATTTTAATGGCATATTTCAGCATACGACATAAATGCGATGATTTTAATGTCCAGTCTTGTGTTCATCGATCTAGAAGAGTGTGTACAAAGATTAGAAAAATTAACTTATACAGAAAAAACTCCATCTTCCGAAAAGCCTAAAAGTATGTTAACAAATATGTAATACCATAAGAATTATATTTAATAAACACTTATAGGTACTGAAATAGTTAATAGATTCTTGACACGAATGTATGTTTTTCCAGAGAAAAATAAGTATTATGAACCAGACATGCGTTACGGAGAATACTTGCAGAAAATGCATGTGCCATTATATAGTACGCATTCTTCAGGAAAGAAAAAATCAAAAGCCCAACCTATGGGATACAAGTTCCGACTACGAAGTAACGAAGTAAGCATTTTTCTACAATTACAATTGATTGGGTAACTATCCCTAGATTGACTATCAAATACTATAGAACCGGAGTAATACGTGCAGCATTGGGTGAAAGGACACTAGCGCCCCTAGTGGTAGGAGGTGAACGATTTGTATTTGTATGTTGTTTTGAGTCTATAGTATTTGATTATACTTAACTAACATAATTTTTACACAGGACAAGTAGTATTTTTTTGTGCATTAGGTATTCTGCGTTGGTATAGAATTAAAGGCAGTGTGAGATAGTAAAACTGTAAACTGTCAATATCATTGTTGTTTTAATTTTTACAGAGCTATGAGAAACTATGCAAGGATCACACATTTGTGAGTATTAATCGTACCCATTTGCTCTTTATGCTAATACCTATGTGTTCATTTTGTAATTCATATTGTTAATACTTGTATTCATAACGCAAATACAATCCTTAAAAAGTTAAGTTTTTGCTTAGCTGGAAAAAAGGTTGGAAAGGAACAAAAAAGCAAAACAAACCGAAAGAGTGTGTAATTATAAGTTCTGGGAACCACCGAGTACATTGCGTAAGTACCTATTTAAAAGTATCATAAGGTTCTGTTTGATATTAAATGTAGCCGAATAGGACAAACAGAAGCACATCAGTCAATTCAATTCAATATTCATTTATTCAATTTACTGTTTTACAAGCATACGTGAATGCCCATTTTTACATGAGATCCAGAGAACTTGATACTATTTACCTCTACAGTCTGAAATCTAGAACTGAGATACGACAATAGCAATATTTGGGCTGCGCCTTTGACTCCATAATCATTCAACTTCATAACCATCGTCTGATCAACGCAATCAAAAACCTTGGACAAGTCACAGAATACTCCAAGAACACTGTCCGACTCCTCCCAAGCTTCCAATATATTCCTAATAAGTGCAATATCCGCATCAGTCGTAGAAGTACCTCTAGTAAAGCCAAATTGATTTGTATGTTACAGATTATTCTATTAAAAAAATATTTTTTCGAAAATTTTACTCATTTTTGCCGGTATTAAGTAAAATTTTCGGAAAAATATTTTTCATAAATTAATATCACATTTCAATTTAAATAAACTGTTAAATACAAATCAATTTGGCTTTAATAGAGGTAGATCTACGACTTATGCGGGTATTGCACACAATCTACACAAATCGGTAAAAAAATAATCAAACGGTTTTTAAATGAATTGATAAATTTCAGAGTTCAAATCAATTCAGCACATTTTTGAGTTTAACTTAAAGTTAATTGCTTCATGTTTATGCTTAGGTAAATTCTGGTGAATATTTTTCTGTATGTGAGGTAAAGTTAATGCCTTGCTCACTAACACAATTTTACCTTGATTTTTTTTAATCTAATAAAATTATAATATTTGTATTTGTATAAGTATACCCATTTCAAATGAAATAGTTCCAATATGATCACGCAGCCTAAAAAGTAATAAAAGAAGAAATTCATTGCGCTAAGGTTGATCCAAGTAGACGGAAGGTAGTAATTACTAAAAATAGATTAAACTAAACCTAATTTAAATTCTTCAAGGAAATACGGATCCAAAAATGGTGGCATACGTCAACAAATTGAAAATGTTCAAGAAAAAAGCAAAAGCGAAACATAAATCTCAATTTGAGAACGTGCAGTACCTCGTGACTGGAGTATCTTTCACAGGCGGAACTCCACGATATATTTTAGCAAGTAATGAACTTGTTTGTCTTTTGTAGTGAGTGAAAATTACTCTGACTGTTATTTATAATAACACTAGCGGGAGCTCGCGCTTTTTCTGTTTGGCAAAAAGGGCTTCCCACACAAACTTCCAGCCCCTTAAAAGATTATTTCTTGGAAAAAAAAGGATCTTATATCATTTCCCAGGACTCAAAAGTATATCTATACCAAATTTTCCATGTGCATAGCATACCAAATATTCCATGACTAATTATTTAGTGTATCTTTGCCAGTTCAGTAAACAAATATTAACTTTAATTATATTTCAGATGTAGCCATGCTTCCTACTGGTTATATACCGATAAATGGAGGGATCATTATTCTTAACGGGACTGCTATTACTGTTATAAATGGCTTTTGGAAGTATCCCAGAGAAGTGATAGAAAAATGCGACAACACATGCGACTGCCTTACGAAATGGTCAGTGAAGTAGTTACTAATGGGTATTAATTATTTTAATTACAGGTTTCCCAAAAAGAAGTCCATCGACCCGTGCTCTTTGTTGAAATAATACCTTCCTATTTTCAATTTATTTACACAAGTAAGAAATAATATTACTTTGCTACATCTTAAATATTATGGAAATTCTCAGGGAAAGTTCAGTGATGGAGTATTTAAAAAAATCCAAGTGCAAATGTGGTCATCTCTATGATTTATATAATGAAGGGAAAACTAAAGAGAAATATTTTCATCAGCCAACTAGACACGGCAAGTTATGGTTTGATCACGCCAAAATTTATCAGATGGATCCTTGGGAAGATTTTATCAAAGATACTGTTAGAGAAGCGATGATGTCTGGTGAACCAACGGTAATAATATTTATTGAGCACGGAGTTTACTACCTATTTATCCTTTAATTTTATTATTTAGCAAACAATGAATAAAAGTTATCGAACTTGAAGCTACTGTTAAAATATTACTTACTCTATCTTTATAACTAGTATTATTACAGAATCTTCACTTTACCATAAAAGTGTAATTAAAATTAAAAAAAGTCACTCTTTTTTATGCTCAATATAAGTCAAGACTTACAATTGTATTCAATTCATATGTCGAGATTTTATTCCAGCCGGAACCATCCAAGTCCACTATATCTCCTATTGGAATGAAAGAAAAGGATTTACTAGCGGTATGCCGTAAAAATACTCATCGTAACTAGTTTTATGAGAACGGTCTTTACATACACACATCAAAAAAAGGTTGCGATCACTTTGAAAAATAGATTGTTTGTTGTGTTACAGAAGACTATTTATAATTTATATACTACTATTACTATTTTAGTAATTTCTTTTTCTGATAAAATACAAAATTTTAAACTTAGAATTAGAACGTAAAATATTGAATAATTCAATTGTTTTTCCATATAAAAAGACACGCAATCCAAGCTGAAATTCGAATTTAAAATATTTTTTTTACGGAAAGTTGTGATTTAAAAAATGCCACGAGGATTATCAGATGTTTTACGAGCCAGATTGTAACTTTGAGGGAAGAAGGCTATTCTACGAGAGAAGTAGCACGCAGAGTTGGCATATCCCAATCCTGTGTAGTAACCACGTTGCAGAGGTACCACGGCATGGGTAATTTAACTGATCGATCCTGCAGCGGTCGCCCAACTGTTTTGATAACTGCTCAGAAGCGCTACATCAGGGGGCCAATCGCCTAACGGAAATGCTTTGGAAAACGCTAACGCTTACGATTTTATTTTGTTATTTCTAGCCGCCTGAGGTATTCAAGTGCCTCGCGCTCTTTCTTTTTCTTTTGCATTGGTAATAACAATATTAAAAAAATGAGCGTGAGGTATCCGAAAACCTCAGGCGGCTAGAAATAACAATATAAAATCGTAAGCGTTAGCGTTTCCCAAAGCATTTCCGTTAGGCGATTGGCCCCCAGGTTGCTGGTAGCCCGCGACCCAACAACACTAAAAGCAGAAATACAGGCCGCCTCCGGACTTGAAGTTAGCACTCAGACCATTCGGAATTGCTTACACAAGGCTGGATTAGTAGTGGTATTATAATTGGGGCTAGAACGCCTTTAATCCCTGATCAAGGCTTCATGACGGCAGACAGATACAAAGCAGTCGCTATTGATGATATCGTCAGACCTTTCCGAGTAAACCATGGGTACCAATTTGTACTGGTTGACGATAATGCGCCTGCAGATCGAGCTCAACGAGTCAATGCTGCTCTCCGAGAATACGAAATCACAAGGTTAGACTGCCCTGCCGGCTCTTCTGACTTAAACCCAATAGAGCATGCGTGGGATGCTCTTAAGCGGGCTGTTTGGAATCGGCAGCCACCACCCCACACAGTGCCGCAGCTCAGAGAAGCTGTTGTTCAAGAATGGGACAGGTTACCACAAGAAATTCTGGATAACTCGATCCTCAGCATGCCCAGGAGGATCTCCGCATGTGTTCAGAGGAGAATTTTTTTGGTATTAGTTAAACAACAATTTATTAATAAAAGGTTTTTAAGTTTGGTTAAACTATCTTTTTATTTCTATTAAAGTTCTATTACAATCGCCTTAGGATTGAATTATTAAATTGTTTATGCTAAAAAATAAAATTAGTTTTATTTTTTAATTTCAGAAAGTGTATTTTTAAATAAAAAAAGATATAACGTCAACATTTTCTCTTGATTAAGTTAAATTTTGAAAATATATCAGCTTTTGCAAGTGCTCTCAAATGTTTTTGACGTGTGTACATACATTAACGTCCTATGTTTTTGAAATAGTTGTTTTTTTAAGTCTACACTACAGTACATATAGGTATAAAGTGGAATTGATACTTTACACTGGCCTGCAAAACTAAGTATCATACTCTTAAAAATGCAATAACTTTTTAAGTACACAAGATATGCTTTCCAAATAAGAAGGACTCAAAATAGAGTTTAATTTTGTACTACAGTACCCTTAGTACGAGTTTTACAATTACGAAAACTATGAGTTTTCATGAGCTCGCACTCGTACTAAGGGTACTGATTTTATTGTTTTCGTTTCAATACAAATGAACAGTGTTTAAATTCTATCCTTATATCATTTGCGTCTTCATGAATTTTAAGTATATTTGATTACTTTTCCCCAAAATGGACAGAGACACATAATTTACAATTCGAATATAATGATAGTTTTCGTGAACTCAAACTTGTACTAAGGGTTCAGTTGTAGAGAAAGCTGATAAAAAAATCTCTAAAACGTATTTTATTTAAACGAGACTTAAAATCTCTAACTTCGATAGTTTAGAAAAAATATTAAATCAAAAAACGTGATACTTAGTTTTGCAGGTCATTGTATTACAAACTACAAACTTTTTTGGATGATTGGGTTTCATGATTAGAGTTTGCCAGCATTTTTTGAGGTTTTTGGGTGATTTTTCTATTATTAATATGTGCGTTTAAAAGACATAATTACTTACCTAATAGAAAGGGTAACTTTTTTTTTCATTTATCTAAAATTTATTTAAAAAAAGTTGTAGTTAGTAAAGGTTCAATTTCACCTTTTAAGTATTATGATCGGATAATGATATGTATGAAGAACAACAATTGTTTTTTTCCTCATCTAGGCACTCTTAGCTGACTTATCAGACACACCTTTACTGATTCCACATTTACCTAAGGCGAACTTACTAAACAACCTTCAGGAATGGGTCAGAAAAAAAGTAAAGGGTAAAATTTTACCAAAACAGCATAGTAAGTATAGTGACATCTTATTTTCTCGTATCTTGTACATTACAACTTGATAACAACCATGACTGGAATCTATATACCGTGGAAATTTAAGATTTTATAAAAATACTAGCATTTGCCCGCGGCTTCACTCCCGTTAGTTTTGATTTTGAATAAACCACGCAATCTTAGTGCTCCATACATACTTTGAATCCCTATTCCCTATCCCTATTTCCCTAAGGGGTAACCTTAGGGAGTGCGTTTTGGAAAGAATGTTATTTAAACAGTTAGCAAAGTAATCCTACTTTTGGTAGAAAAACAAATATTGGTTTTCCAAAATAGGTAGCTAGTTGGACAGCAACTTATAGTCAGCAAATATTTCTAGTAGCACTTTAGAGTAAAGAGTAAGCAAAAAAATCAATTGTGTGCCGCTAATATAAGACTAGCAAAAATATTATACTAAACTTATCATGCGCAAAATGGGCGCATCCCTTAAGGGGGTTTTTTACCTCGCAATACAAAAATGCATACATCTGTTCTTGTCCACCAACAAAATCAGACGACACAGAGGGCAAAAAGATTAAAACTGAGCTTGTTAGTTCAGAACTCTTTCTTGAAGGAAAAGCCTAAAATCCTATTTTATTTACACGAAGACCGCTCCGCTAGACTTCCCTAGTTCATTCCTCTTTGGCGATGCAAAAGGGGCTTTACAATGATAACCTATTTATTTATTTTGTCTCTTGCTGGATATATTTCGTAATATTGAAATAGTGTGTGTGATATAATAATTAACAAATTGTTTTATTTTTGTAATTATAATAGAGCTCCAAAAGGAGGTAAGCAAATGTAACAAAGTATTGTTGTAGTGGGTACGTATTATTATTTTTTCCAGAGAAGTTAATTCTGCAGTCACAGAGGCGGTGGTTAGATCTGAAACATATGGATTTCAAAGCATCAGCCTATAAAATTCCTTTTAGTTTAAAAGAATTGCAGCATTTCAACTGGTCCCACCGAAAAATGGTTCAAACTTTGGTAAGCAGTATTTTCTTATCATGAAGACTTATCATTTTTATACAATGCTCAGCATCAGAAAAGCAATTTACTCCACCCCAGCCGATATTAAGAGTGAGTGGAATCCAGTTAAAATTATGATAGCTAATTTTTTCACTTCAATCAGACAAGCTTCTGGTAACCGTCCACTTACCTGACAACCAAGAAGAATACAGTAAAATAATGTTAATCGGTAGTAACACAGTAATATAATAAATTTTAAGTGTCCGCTATCTATCTGCAGTGAGAATGAAAGGTTTTCAAAGCACTGATTGGGATAGGTACTTAGATTAAAACAAAAAGGGAAGATACGGGGTACGCTCATACTAGGATCAAATAAAATATGCTCCGACTCAACTACATAAGCAACTCTCACACACGCACACCTCTGTAAATAAACATTCAATCGAGCGAGCGAGACAGAACTGTACGCTTCAACGCAGCGCGAGCGAAACGGTGAGTCCGAGCCCGCCGAGCGAGGCTGAGCTGTATTGTTGTCCGTTTTTATAACAAAATGGCAATGACGTAAATATTTTTTTCTCCAAAATCACGCTCAAAATGTTTTTACAGTTTTACAAATGAAATCTAAGGCTAGTTAGAATATAGTTAGGATAATGGGGCTAGTTGTTGTTCCAAAGAATGCACCGCACCGCATCTAAAATTACTAATAAAATTTTGAACATGACCACAATTTGCTTAAGGCCCAAGCACAATTAGGCATAATAGGACATTTAAACACGCTGCATGTGCGCTCAAAATAAAAATAATGCGTATATTCTGTGTTATAAAGATAAAACAATGCCTTTGATGCTTTTATAAAGGACACAAATATTTCAAGATCAAATAACTTTCACGATAACACTTCTCATTCGAAAAACTATGAAAACCATGTTTTTATCTGAAAAATGACGGTTTGTCATGAATATTATTTACTTTTACGCCATTTGTTATCAAGAAAAAGACAACAATACAACTCAGCCGTTTCAAGAGAGTGAAAAGAAAACGCAGTCGCCAAGCCAAGCGACGCGGACTTACCGTTTCGCTCGCGCTGCGTTGAAGCGCATATTTCTGTCTCGCTCGATTTAATGTTTATTCACAGAAGTGTGCGTGCGTGTGATTTGCTAATGTAGCTAAGTCGGAGCATATTTTATTTGATGCTAGTAGGCCGTCGTCACTTCCAATAAAAACACTGAGGCGTGCCTTTTGTGAAAACTATCAGATAAAAAATAAAATCCTGCTAAAACAAAAGTACTAAGTCTACATTGACTTGCGTATGTCTGATAAGATTTTAATTTTAGTCAGATTGTACTTCAAAATTTATATTGGTATTAACTGTCCAGCGAACTTCGTACCGCCATAAAAAATAGGTGTTGGTGGTAGAAGGGTGAAAATTTAGGATAGGCTAGTTGACTCATGTCGAATTGTATTAAATAAATGTTTATTTCTTAAAATATTTGGTCTAAGGAACGTAAATATATCGATTTCACTTCATAAAAGCAGAAGACTGCTGTAGAATTTTAATTTTAAAAAAACTTTTTAGTCTATATTTTTTAAACACTAAAAACGCTGTTCGCCACAATAATCCACCCACAGTAACACGCGAATGATCTATAGTTTTTTACTACAAGAGACTGATGTGGCCGCCACATCCGTCATGATTGTGACGTCTCTTGTAGTAAACAACTAAATGTCATGCGCGTGTTACTGTGGGTGGATTCTTTCGTCTCACTTAATTTATCATAAAACACTTTTAACTATAGAAAAGTTTCCGTTTACTGTTTTTTTTGACAAAACTAATTATGGATGCCGGCTTTGTGAAAGCAGAAAGCACAAATCTGCCAAGAATTTACGCATTGATGGTTGGTGAATTTTTTGCACTAAACCCCGATTTCTGCTCTGCGGAGCAGAGAAACGACAAGGCATCTATGTACGTACAGTGCATTTAGTATTACAATGTAGTAATAAGCTTAAAACTGATACAACATATGAATAAGTGTAATAAAGTTGCGTAGGTTAATTTCTTTCGGCACTTTAATCCACAACTTTCCTGGAGTCTTCAAGGATGTGTTTTTATATTCTCGTACAATACAATAATGATAATTACTTTATTTTTCGTGGTATTAATTAGAAATCATGTTTTTTTTTTATTATAAACTCAGTTAAGTTATTTTAATAATAATAATAATAAAAACTCTTTATTTTACACCACAAAATAAAAAAATAAAAAAAAATATAAAACATACATAATGGCTGCTTACAGTGTAAAAATGGGCGGACTTATCGCTAAGAGCGATCTCTTCCAGACAACCTTGGGATGGAGAGGACAAGAAAGAAGCTGGAAAGACGGTGGTGTAACTTCAATAATACGCGAGAAAATCTATGAACAAACCGAGTATATAAAACAAATAAATACATACATACACTCATACATACATAGATAAATACATATATATATATATATATACATACTAAAAATACATATGTACCATATATAAGTCTAATTCGGTGAGAGGAAATAAATACAATAGAGGAGCTATAAGGACAGATAGTGAGAACTTAGAAGGTTTTTGAATCTGTGCAGAGATTCTGCACGTCTAATGGAAACTGGAAGCGAATTCCATAGGCGAACAGCTTGCACTGCGAATGAGCGGCCATAAAAAGTTGTTCCGTGCACAGGTGTAATAAGAGCAAAATTTTCTGATGACCTTAGGGACAGTGTGTTAGAGGTGTGAAGGAAGTTAAAACATTCCTTAAGATAGCGCGGGGTCAAAGGATTAAACAGTACGTTATAGAGAAGAATAAGGATATGAGTATTCCGGCGAAAGCGAATAGGCAGCCACTTGAGCTGTGAACGAAATTGAGAAACATGATCATATTTTCGCAGGCCAAATATGAATCGTATACAGAAATTCTGAAGTCGCTCAAGTTTATCAAGCTGGGCCTCCGTGAGATCTAGATAGCAGACGTCAGCGTAATCAAGAATAGGAAGCAAGAGTGTCTGAGCTAAGGTAGTTTTGGTGGTAGTGGGTAGGAAATTACGCAGTCTCTTTAAAGAAGCTGCGGAAGCAAACAGTTTACGACTGAGCACTTGCATCTGGGGTCCCCAGTATTTTCTACGTGCTTACGAGTTTTTGTTTACTACAGTTGACGTCATAGCATAGATAATCTATAGACTAAAATGGCTGACAGCGTTTTTGTATTGTCCATGAAAAGTCTATTTTAAAATTAAAGATTTTGTAGCTTTCTAGGTCTCAAAAAAATACAATACATTTTTTTCGGTCTAATTTAGTTTATTAACCATTTAAAACCTTTTTCAAAAAAGGGTCAACTAGCCTATTTGTTTTTTGTATGATGTATCATAAAAAAATAAAAACAAACATTTTTGTTCAGAATATAAAATTTAAGGTTGAACCAGCCTTTACATTTAGGGGGATGAAAAATAGATGTTGTCCGATTCTCAGACCTGCTGAATATGCATATAAATTTTCACGAAAATCGGTCGAGCCGTTTCAGAGTAGTTCAATTACGCACACCGTGACACGAGAATTTTATATTAGATATTGGTATTCTGCATCCAAATAAAATGACTTCCTTCATCAATCAAGTTTAAATAAAATATTGTTTTCAAAGAATTTTGTGTTAATTAGCATTAAAAATTGTTTACCTATGTGAACTAATTATAATGTGTGGAAAACCTTACGAAAATGTGAAATTTGTGGCATAAGGAGTGAGCGCAAATCTACCTCGGACATATTTTTTGCCAGATTCCTACTAAAGATTAACAGGTAAATAAATTTCGTTTATAAATGATCGTTAATTTGTGTTTATTTACTTTACAGTTTGGGTAATGGAAAGGGTGCTAAGGTGTGACACCGTGGTCTTAGGCCCGTATTCCAGAATGACAACTAAGTGTTGATTTTTACTTGAGTACAGTTAGAAAGGGATATCTCTATGTGCTATATATATAGCGACATCCCTTTCTAACTATGCTCCAGACTAGATCAATAACTGAGAATCTTTCTATAATACGGGCCTTAGTCTGCCTTACGGGTCAGGCCGTAAATTTTGCCACATTAGTTATAACATAACTCTCCGCCACATTTTAAAAAAAAAGTACGGTAATTACATTTTTTTCAATAACAGAATCATATTTCCTCACAAATGGTGAATCGCGATCAATAAATATATTAAAATATCTTCGAAACCTTAGAAATTTATAAAATATTTTGCTACAAAAAGCGATGAATTTTTCGTAAAATACGCTTATCCGTCCCGGCACTTTGAGCATCAGTAAAATCAAAAATAAAAATCTTTGTGATAGTCTCTTTGCTTTTACGCTACACAATAATAGTTAGCTAGCCACATTTTAAATATCGTTTCGTATTACCTAAGAAATTGCATAAATTTTCACTAATTTTCGAAAAACGTTAAAATCCATTCCTTTGCGCTACTTTTTATTGCGAAACTAATAAATGCCCATTTGGTTGTGTTTAAAAAATAGCAGTATTCAAGTCTGAGTAGTGGCAACACCGAACAAACTTTGTCTACGGTCAATACGCTGTCAGCGGCCATATTTTTTTCAGTCCAACATCAACATCGTTTGAAAGAAGGAAGTGTCATATTTTTTGCGGAGAGTGTTTTTTGATATATCACGGTAAGTTTTTGATTTATATCTATACTTATTATTGCGCACGATTTAATGAAATGTTTGACATCTTTCAAGGCTTAATTTACATTAAAAAATTGCTTATTTATCAAGTCATAATGGGTTTTGTTTGCGCGACAGTTGCGCAAAAATGAGCGATACCAGGGGCGTAGAATTTGCGCTACTAATTTTACGCTACCAAATAAAGGAGCTTACACACATAGGCTTGCAGGTGTTTTTTTTTAGCTTTTGTAATATTTGTGTTTTTTTGAGGTTTCGATTTTAGTTCCTGTGAAGGAATTGTATTTCTAGCAATAGAACTATCCACTTTTTTGTAACACCTTTTAAGACTTAAAGATAAGAGTAAAAGTTGACGTTTGTCATACTTACCTATTAAAAGTGTGTTTTATTTTGTAGCACTGTCCTTACGTTACATATCTTGTATGCACTCCTTAACAATTTTGCGTTACCATTTTGCGTCACTCTGCGCTATGGACTCGTAGAAATTTTGGCGACACCATTGCGCTATTTGTGGCAAAATCTACGGCCTGACCCTTACCCCTTGAGTGTTTAAGCCAGAATGCACGTCCTTACATACAAAATGTTTTACGAGGCACACACTACTCTTTTTAGAAAAAACCTAACATTCCGTTCGGAGTAACTAATAATAGATTTTTATTTGTAGATTTTTCAATGCAGGTAATTTAATTTATGTTTTATTTTTTCAGCTTGACCGCAACAGAATCATTGCAAGTACAATTTGTAAATGCAAGGCATGTAAGCATATCGGCACTTTAGTTATAGGTATATGTAAATTCTCCTGAAAGCGTCAAATCCAAAACTAATATGTAATGCCCAATCATGGGATAAACCATCTTATCAGTAAGTAGTTATTATTCTTTGGAATAAAATAAAATATTGTGCTACTTCATTTATTTTAATTTTTGTGAATGTATTGGTACATCCAGAAATGCATTATACAATATTACATAGAATAGTAATTTTCACGAATAAAATTTATTCTGTTTACTTGTTACAAATGCCAATGTCAAGTTTTAATAGAGTACAAGATTTGGATTGGCCATGCCTGTTGGCAGCACCTTCGTTGTGCACGTTCCCTATATCTAAAAATTCTGAAATTTCCAGGACTTTGTTTCCCCGAGTGACTACCTAAGGAAGAGATGCGCTGACCCGCCGGATGCAAGGATCCCTCTTACTCTCCCTTGACTGACCACCATGATACCACATCCGTTACCAACTGGCATGAGTTTATACTCCATTACCACACGAATCTATTTTCGAACCAATGGCGTAGTATTTTCACTTTCACAGCGCTACAAGGGCAGCACAGGCCAGACTATAATTTATTTAGATTTTTGTTTTGAATATATTGATTTACTGTTGTATTCTGTTTATTTTTAAAAATGGATAGTGAATAAAAAAATAAGCAACAATCGATTCACAGCACGTCATCATGAGGTAAAATCTAGATATTTTTTGACAGATTACTCCTTAATATTGTATAAAAGTAATTGTTTGGCATGTTGTGATGGGATTTATTGCTGTTAGGTTCACTTATAGCAATTTTGCTAATCTCAATGTAACTAAATATAGATTTAGCCTATATAATGTCAAGTGCACATACGTTTTGATGCTTTCCTACGAAATCGAAATTTTAGCAATGTTGCTGCAAGTGGACCTTACTCCCAAAGTATGAAATATTTAAGATTTATGAGTACCTAACCACGAAGCATTATTTTTTTATCGATATCTGGTAAGGTACACCACTATTTTATTATATCTGGTGGGTACATCATTTCTTTGATATTTCTTAGGTATTTCGGTAATTTGTTCCTTTTTTTATTATATTAGTATTCCGGTCAAGGGCTAGTATGGAAGTGACGACTCTTAAAAATTACATGATCAGTGGATGCTGGTATGAGCGTACGGTATCTTCCCCTTTTGTTTTAATCTAAGAATATATGTGTTCATAACATAAATAATAAATACCCTGCCGGGGTTGAGATCTTTGGCATTGGCTTGGAAGGTGGCTGCTATTGCACCAACCTGTAGTCATGCCATAGTCAATACACAATAATCCTAAGTATATTATTTCTTCATAGTTTGAAGTAATGCTGAATGATTTCGTGACAAGGAACCAGAGGAAACAATTCATACAAACTCGCTTATGGTGGTCCACTATGAAATACGATCCATATCCTAGCAAGGCATTTTTGTAAGTAAAATAAAATTGCTATCATTTTATTTCGTGCTTTAGTGATAAGTTATTTTCTTCGTACAACAATTCTATAGATGACGGGTTGCATACAAAATCAAAGCTAAAAACTGTCAACGTGTGTTTAAACTTATGCAGCTACATTCGATTCCCAATGAACAAAGACAAATGTTTTTAAACAGTTTTAGTTGAACCTAATAACAACTATCTCACAAAGGAATAAGGTTACAAATAACAAAATGTTATTTCGCACATACGAACTTAACTATACTATCTATACTAATATTATAAAGAGGAAAGGTTTGTATGTAAGTATATTTGTAACGAATTAGCTCAAAAAGTACTTGACCTTTTTTTAAAAATTATTTCACCATTTGAATGCTACATTATCACTGATTAATATAGGCTATAGTGTATTTTCAAAACAGTTAGGATTCCGTATGAAAACTTCGATAATGTAATCCAACGTGTGTAAAAAATACCTAAAAATAGCCTTATATCGTGGACGCTGCGGAAGTCATTGACAATAGAGCAAATGATGTAATAAAGTTTTATAGAGGATACCGATATCTACAAAAAAGTTCACGATACCATATGTCTAAATATTACAGTTATGTCACAACTAGAGGTCTCCTGCGGTTTCTCTAGCGTTAATATGAAGAAGAAAGTCTATAGTGAGTCAAAATTAAAAAATGGACATAGGCTGTTGTAGACTTTTTTACAAAACTTTTAAAGGGGAAGAATTCCGTTATACATGATTTTTGTGTAACTTTACCGTTAACCTAGCGCGCGCAACGGAATCTCACAAATGGAATATTTTTACTCGTTTTTGCAACATTTTTCATCGATGCTCCCCTGCTACTGGGCGTAGCCTGGTAATACATAGCCAAAAATATTTTTTCAAATCGGAACAACAGAGCAGTGTTGCATTCGGTACAACGGGTCCTAAACTACGCAACGTTTTTTTTACTTGGAATGTAAGGTTTATATTTATTATGAAGAGAGTCATTGTGTATAAAACAAGCCTTTGAAAAAAAACTATAGTCTACACTACAGCTCTACACCGAAGCAAAGCGAGGGCGGGCCGTTAGTATCTTATAAAACGGAAACAAAAAACGAAAATTTTGTTTGATATTTAATTTTATATATTGGAAAAAACGATAAGGGTGAAAAAAGAAAAATAGGGAAGATGCAATATTTTTATTTTTGTTTTCATTTTAAAGAATTCCATGTAGAATAAACCACAGATATATTAAAAAATTAAAACATTGTGATTTATCGGAAAAAATGCGGTTTTAAATTGACAATTTAAATTTTCGCGCGAAAACGAACCTATGGTTGCGATGACGTCACTCCTGTCTGTCACTGGTCGTACTTGTTCGTCGCTGGCTTTAAATTTTCATACTTTTGCATATTTTTTTGACTTTCGAAATATTATATATAATATTATTTTTGAAAAATTGAAAATGGACTATCCATCAACATCATGTGATCATAACAATACCACTAATATTCCTAAAAAGCCGTGTTGACTCATGTTTTGTGCCAATCTACTTCAACAAAGTTCCCAAATAAATTGTTTTTGACTGGAACTTCTGACCCAAAACTGAAAAAAAGGTGGTTTAAAGCTGCGAAGAGAAATGACAATTATTATCCAAAGACCATTATTCGATGCTGAGAAGATCACTTTGACGTAAGTCGGCGAATATACTTGTTATACGCTTAATTAATCTGCTTGTACGTAAAAACGCATTGGTAACCTACCTAATACTTACAAAACCTGTCTATAACATATTTTTAATTTTACAGTTGGAGAATGACGTCGAAAATTAGATAAAGTTTAAAATGTGTGGCACAATCTTCACATTGGCAGGACTGAACCAAGCTTTGCGTTTCATTTAAAATAACTGTAACACGATAACCTTCTTTACGTACTTTATGCTCCGGAGAACTCGCCCTTTTACTGTACATAATTCTCCATCTCTTTTAATTTGGACATAGCCGCTTGCATTATCGCCGTAAGATTTGTAGAAGCCGCTGAATAAAATACGAAGTATAACAACTACGATTTTTACATACCGTAGTAATTTAGTCCCTTTCATTTCTATACTTAAAAACTCTGCACTTTGGACAAAAAAAGTTATAACCATGTCAACGCTAACTCTTGGTAAATTCCTGGAGTCTGCTTTGATAAACGCAACTTCCATTTTTATTAAATGTAAAAAAACGCAATAAATATTCAAATAAAATAATATTTACTTTAACAACCATAACCTCAAAGAAGTTGTCATAACAGGAGTGACGTCACTAAACGCTGATTGGTGTTTTAAATTACGTTCTGTTTCAAGTATTTTTAATTCGTAATAATTGTTAAAAAACAACATTATGTAAAATAAAAACGTTGCAGTGGCATTTCTTTTACATTTTTTTAACATTTTAAACATAAAATTTTCATAAATATTATATATGCATCTTCCCTATTGTGAAATCATCCTTATGACCTACAAAATAAAATATTTTTACCAGTCATTGGCCAGCGAGTTACTTCGTTTTGTATTAACCGAACTTATTGAAAATAAGATGTCACGCCTCAAGTGAGGCTATATTTACCGAGACAGATTTTACGTGCTGGCCTGTTATCTAAAGAATTATTGATCAGTAAAGAAAGTGTGTTAATAAAATTACCTTTTCAAAAAATACTACGTGTAATGAGTGCCTACTTTACAATTTTATACTGTTCGAACGATTGCGTGAATTACTTTTTTTTTATTATGTAAGTGACTGTTCCTTCTTAAGAAAAATTTATCTATAACCTTACATTCTTTTTTTTCAGGGACATATATTTCACTTACATGCCGGGAAGAATAAAAGACACTTTCATTGTAAATCCTTATAGCTCAGAACTCACTCCTAAATATGGAGCCAAAACGTGTCCATTGTAAAAGTTTTTGTGATCCACGTTGTTATTAAGTTTACTGTTTTGTGATTTCTTAACTTTAAAAGTTTGTATAAAAAAGCAATTTAAAATATTTTTTTAAACAAATAAATTATTTTGCACTAACCTTTCTTTTTTACCTCCGTCGCCCTTTTTATAGTACCTACTCACAATAATATGAGGTGTTTGGAAGATGAGTGCAAATCTTTAAAGGAAAACTAGCACTGACCATTTAAAACCATTTGGGTTATATTTCTTCATCTTTTTCTTTTTTATGAAATGTGACCATTTTTTTTTTAATAATTTTTGTCGTTTTTGATGAAAAGAATCCAAAATTAATCCATCGATTAAATAATTGCTTAATTAATGTTTATAGTCCGGGAGGACTATATATTAAAAGCATATGATAGACTATATTTTCTAATATGTTTATAATCCGGGAGGACTATAAACATTAATTAAGCAATTCTTTAATAAATGTTTATAGTCCGGGAGGTAGGATATTAACATCGATAGTTGATCATAAATGACTTATAACTGAAGCGACAGTCAGCTGCTCAAGAAGCGGTGGGTGCGGGTGTGGGAGGCTGTGGAGGAGGTGAAAAAATTTAAGTAATAGTAAATAGTTGACATCATTCTGATTTGAAAAAAGATCGTCCAGTCAAGGGCATCAAGGCATTTTGAACTGCCTCACGATTATTATTTTTTTCCCCGCTAAGATTTTCCCCAATTTTAGAAAAAATAGAAGTCTTTAGGGGCAATGTTTGATAAGTACGGTGAATGACGGAGAACTCCCAACCCCAGCTCTTGTAACTTGGAGACCGTCAGCTGTGCAGTAAGAAGTCGCGCGTTGTCGTGATGGAGCAGCGGAGCTGAACGATTGACCAAAATCTGGTTGGAGATGTGCGAGCTCCTCCATCATTATGTTCAGTTTATTTATTAATTTATCTTTAACAAAGTTTCTACAGCGGTTTTTTGTGAAATTTAATACAATAAAATATAGATAATAATCTTAAGGCTAATTACAGAAACTCATTATGTACACATTAGATATTAACTGCGTCATTATATGTCAGTAATTATAACATTTAATTTAATTTAGTTCTTCACAATACACATCCGCAGTAAGTAATGCTCATCCCGTGTGGCAAGAAGCTGTGGTGAACGACACGGGCGCTAGATCACCAAACAGTGACCATCACAGGGGATAAATAAACGCCTTATGAAATTTCAAACTCAAAATCAAGTCAATCAAAAATTTCTGAATCTGAGTATGGTTTTCAATCAAAAAAAGTACATAAATCGCGTCGAGCTCTAGTTATTAGAGTTACTAAAACTTTAGACAATAAGGAAAAATGTACTGGAGTTATCCTTAACTTAGCGAAAGCTTTCGATACGGTGTTAGGGTACGGCCACAGTGCACGCTGGTTCAGAATCAGATTCAGACTCCGAAAACAAGCGCGAGAAATAAACAGTGTAAGCAGGGTGGCCATAGTGGCAGCAGGCAACTGGTTGCCCACGCAGGGTTCGGAGTCAGAGTCGTTACCGGAATGTTTAGGTCATTCTTGTTTCAGATTCTGAATTCATCAGCGCCGCTCGGACTGCAGGTAGGGTTGCCAATCCTACTATAAAATATAGTATCCTACTATATTAGGGGATCAAATATAATATTTCTAAAATATATATATCAGGCGAAACTACTATATTTTGCTTAAAGCGTATTTTTGACAGTAAAAGCTTACTTAAAAACTATTAGAAATTGTTATTATATTATAATATTCATAAAGCAAAGAGCAGCAAAAATATATTTATTTCAAATATAAAGTAAATATTTTAACCACAAATACTATATTTTTTTTTTGCCAGTTACTATATTTTTAGAAGCAACGCTTCGAAAATTGCTCACCTAAATTGCTGAAGTTGGTAACCGTAACTGCAGGTTATAGTTGTTTAAGTAACCTTTTTCTTGGTTGTATTATAAACCAACATTTAGTGCCTTGCTTTTTGTTTGCTATCTACTCTTGTTTCTTGATTTATATTTTAGAATTAACATGATGAATATAGAAGCACTTAGCGCGAAAGATTTTCTTAACCCTGCTGTAAGGGATGAAATAGACAAAAACCATTCAAATAGGAATGTCGTTGATAAGTGCTGACAAACATCGCTGGAGAAATGGGTGTTGAAGGTAAAGAAATACTTTTTTATTGTAGTCTCATTTTTAATACAATTTATTATATTATATTCTGAAATACGTATTGCGTCGTAATTATTGTTACAGAAAGTATAGCATAAAATATAAACATAAATTAAACAATAGGCAACACATACCTACAGATCTTTTTTAGATACCCAATCATTCCATGAAATGATTGCCGTTTTTAAAAAAACATAGCTTTAAATTTTTACTATTGGTTTTGTATAATATAAAATATCCAATATAATCCAAAAAAAGGACTTTTCAACAGTAAGAAGTTTCTTTATTGTAATAAACTCAATCATACATTTATATACATTTAAATAATCAATTATTATAAAACAGATGTCTGTCCCCCCCAATTATCCCCCCATTGCTTTAAAAACCCCCCAAATTTGGGGGGAATCCCCCCAATCTGGCATCAATGCTCGCGTCCGAGTCTTGTATTATCTGCCTCCACAGCAGCCATCACCTGCTTTCCTCAAGCTGACATCTCTCTCACGAGCCTGTTTTCTGAATCTGAACCTGATTCTGAACCAGCGTGCACTGTGGCCGTACCCTTACGCCATTCCTCAGATACACAAACTGCACTCTCTAGATGTGCGAGGTATTCCTCTTGAATTACTTCACAGTGTTCTTACTAGCAGGAGGAGGATCCAGATTGTCCAAATTGTTAGTTTGTGCAGCTTTAAACTTTCGTTTACTTACGGCATACCACAGGGGATATCTATTGTAAAAAAATGCATTTTCTTCGCAATAAAGCTGCCACCTGGACGTCCTAGATAGAGACGTTATTATAATACGATAAAATAAAATATTACTATCATCATCATCATCATCATCAGCCTATTAATGTCCCCACTGCTGGGGCACAGGCCTTCCCTATGGATGGAATAGGGAGATTGGGCCATGAAATTGGCATTGAAATATTACTGTTTCGTCCAATATATTGAAAGTCAACAACCTTCCCAATTTTATGGTATTCGTCTTACGCCACGTGTCCTAAAGCGACTTTAACATTTTTGACCCATAAAAGTGTACAACGAAGCTAAAGAAGTTTTGAAGTTAAGCCTTGTAGAGTTAGGAGGGGCGTGTAGAGTTAGAAGTTTGGCTCTAAAATTGGTCTTATTGATCGTGCGAGTCATAAGGTGGCAACATTTTACATGAGCATGTTTTTGGTGGGATTGTTATTAAAAATTCACACCATATCTTCAAGCAAGAATCGGTGGTTCATTGGTCTGCAGCCTACTACACGGTTGGCTTGGCCCGGAATTGATTCCGGGCCAAGGGCGGACTTTCTTTTATTAATGATTATAAACATTTCACTTGCAACGTTGTTTCATAAAGCCATGCCAATTTTTGTCAACTTTTTTTATATTACAAAATGATCATGAAAGTACAATCGATTTTAGTCGTTTTTTTTATAATCAATTCGCTTCGCGCATCACTACTACCGTTATGTCAGTGTCAAATTCAACAGCTGGGACTGATGTTCGGTTAGTGGAAATTGCAGAAAGCAGCCTAAAATATGTCTGCGAAAGCTATACGAGTAGGATCAAAAACTGTGAAGCCTCTGTTATCACAGACTCCTGGTGAAGCTAAAAAAAGAGTACTCAACCTTTACAAGGCATGGTATCGACAAGTTCCATACTTAGGTTAGTAAACTATTATGTCATCATTTCTGCCCTGTTTTGGTTCATTACAACATAAAAATACATACTATCTAATGCATTAATCAAAAATTATACACATTTTAACTTATTTTTAATATCAGTATAACCTTCAAATCCATATTGAGTCCTTTGTTTAGGTACTTAATAGGTTTAAGTTTTAGAAAAGAATTGACACTTTCTTCAAAAATTATTCTTATAAGCTACGAATGTACAGTTACTTTTAAGAAAAGATAATGTATCTCTTTATACCAAAAGGCGATTTCAATTCATTTACTCAATATCATTACATTTTTGGTTAGTTGAAGTTTTTGTTTATGTAAACAATTTACATACATAATCTGAAAGATATGAAAGTATCCTCATTTAAATTTTTGAATAAATTTGATTGACACCCCTAATCTATATGTGCACTTTATGACAACTCACATACAATATCTCTATTACATTGCAGTTAAAGATTTTGATATGCCAAAGTCAGAAGACCAATGCCGTGCAAAGCTTAAGGAAATGTTTCTGAACAATAAACATGTGACAGACATTCGAGTCATAGATATGCTGGTTGTCAAGGTAAAATGGCAATTTCAATAGTTGTATATATGTAAATAGATAAAGCATGGAATATTTTTACTGCTATGTCATTATTATGATAATTACTATACAAATATTCACAACAGTGAATATGGTATACTGTTACACAATCTTGTGTTTATATCTTGTGATGAAATAGTAAATTATGATTTAATTTGTTTATTATTTTTAAGAATAATGAACTTAATATCTTATTTTATGTATTCTTATTAAGAATATTTATTTACTTTAGGGGCAAATGGAACTTCAAGAAGCTGTAAATATGTGGAAACAAAAAGGACATATGATGACATACTTTAAACCCACAGAAGAGCCAAAACCAAAAGATTTCTTATCAAAGTTCTTTGCTGGAAATGAATAAATATGTCAGCGTTTTGTAAATAGCAGGCAAATATAGAAACCTTCATCATATTAAGTCAAAGAATAGATGTTGCAATATCAGTTTGTTTCCAAATTGTTCATTAGATTGAGAATTACATTTTAATTAAATATTATTGAAATTATGTAATTGATGATTTAGTTTAATTTCCATAGTTTCTCACATTAAGTCTAACAGAGCAATCAATTTATTATCCTTAGCTCTTCTGTAAGAAGCACTGGAGGTGTCATGCGGCTAGTATTTTTTATAGGGATTTCTATGAACATGTGCTCTGTAGGTGGGTATGGCCGTAAAAAAAT